TTAGGTGGTGCACACATTTTGTACTCTAAGTGCTAACCTAAAGGTTGGCGGTTCGAACCCACCTAGTGGTACTGCCGATGATAGTCCTAGTGATCTACTTCTGTTAAGATTATAGCCAAGAAAACTTTATGGAGCACAGTTCTACTCTGTAACACATGGGGTCATCATGAGTCAGAATCGACTTGTCGGCAACTAACAACAACATCCACCCACCCTAGAATGCTACAAATTTGCTTGGGTCATCTGCCGGAAGGGTGGAGTGCCTGTGAGAGGCTTAAAAGGTCTAATCCACTGCTCCCAGGACTACCGAGGGTGGACACTGGTGGCTTAGTGGTAGAATCCTTGCCTTCCATTGGTCGATTCCCGGCCAATGAAACTCATGCACAGCCACCACCCATCTGTAAGTGGAGGATTGCATGTTGCTATGCTGCTAACTAGGTTTCAGTGGAGCTTCCGGACTAGGACAGACAAAGAAGAAAGGCCGGATGATCTACTTCCAGAAACCAGCCGATGAAAACCCTGTGGATCGCAACAGTCTGATCCCCAACCAATCATGGGGATGGTGCAGGACGGCGCAGCATTTTGTTCTATTGTGCAGGGTCTCCATGAGTTGGGGGCGGGCTCCATAGCAGCTAACAACAACAGGACTACTAAGGATGAGTGTGGCCTTTTTCCTGTTTTGTTTGGTAGATTATAGGGCTCTCTCAGCCTTTGCAAATACTCTCTCTTCTCCTAGGAGGCTCTGGGGTCTTGGGTGCTTCTGTCTTGGCATGAGAAGGCTAGCGTGGGCCCTGGGGCAAAGTCTTCTTGCTGGGTTCCCTGCTCCCTTCTGCTGCCTTCAGGAATCTGCCTTCCTTGCGGGCAGGAAGGTGGTGAGATCCAACTCTCAGGCTTGGGCTTGGGAAAGCAGGCGGCATGGGCATTTTCGCTGGCTTTGTTTCTGAGCTGTTCAGGCCTGCCTACCTAGGCAGAGAAGATATCTGAAGGACACAGCCAGTTTTAGTGTAGTCATGCTGGGGCATTGGGCTAAAGTCTGGCTGAGGATCAAGTATAACTGATGATTTGCATCTTCTGCGAAAATGTCCCTGCACAATCCTTTTTAGGGACTCAAGGGAGGGGTGATTATTTAGGGCAAATTTGTATTGTCCTTGGCCCTCTGGCCCAATATCACATTATCATCAATTACACCATGACAGCCCATGCCATCTTCATGTCAAGCCCAAACCATCAAAGGATACTGCTGTTGTTGTTGTTAGGTGCCGTCGAGTGGGTTCTGACTCATAGCGACCCTACGTACAACAGAACAAAATACTGCCCGGTCCTGTGCCATCCTCACAATCGTTGCTATGTTTAAGGCCATTGTTGCAGCCACTGTGTCAATCCATCTCGTTAAGTGTCTTCCTTTTTTTCGCTGACCCTCTACTTTACCAAGCATGATGTCCTTCTCCAGGGACTGGGCCTTCCTGATAACACGTCCAAAGTAAGTGAGACAAAGTCTCACCATCCTCACTTCTAAGGAGCTCTCTGGTTATAGTTCTGCCAAGACAGATTTGTTTGTTCTTCTGGCAGTCCATGATACATTCAATACTCTTTGCCAACACCATAATTCAAACGCATCAGTTCTTCTTCAGTCTTCTTTATTCCTTGTCCAGCTTTCACGTGCATATGAGGTGACTGAAAACACCATGGCTAGGGTCAGGGGCACCTTAGTTCTCAAAGTGACATCTTTGCTTTTTAAAACCATAAAGAGGTCTTTTGCAGCAGATTTGTCCAATGCAATAAGTTGTTTGATTTCTTAACTGCTGCTACCATGGGTGTTGATTGTGGATCCAAGTAAAATGAAATCCTTGACAACTTCAATAGTCTCTCCATTTATCATAATGTTGCTTACTGGTCCAGTTGTAAGGATTTTTGTTTTCCTTATTTTGAGGTGTAATCCATATTGAAGGCTGTAGTCTTTGATCTTCATCAGTAAGGATAAGAAAAGATAGCACTACACACTCTGATTTCACTAGACTTGGGAGGAGAGAGGGGATAGCCTCATCCTTCCTGTGGTTGACATTGTGGCTCCTTCTCCCATTCCCTTTCCACTCCTCCAACTTTGTAGTTTGGATGAGACTACTTCTGCTCTGGGGAAGTAGGACTTGGCTGTTCTAAGCTATCAGCTTAATCTCATCCTTCTGTCATGGTGATTGGTCCAGAATCTAAGACGTAAGCCAATCAGCATGTGTCATTCCCTTGGCCACAGGAATTGGTTCAAGAGTGGCCCAACTGGCCCAGAGCCCAGTGGTTCAGTGGTTGTGGAGAAGACTCTCTGGGAGTTGTTGGTGGCCATCTTTGACCAGGAGAGCTGTAACGGAGCTGGAGACTGCACAGTGCTCGGATGCCTGCCCTATGGCTGGACTGTCAATTATGTTGACCAACAAAAACCTCTCATTGCTTAAGCCAACTTGAGTTAGGTCTTCTGCTACTTTAACAAATACATGCTAATCGAATGTTAAAGGCGCTATCTCTTCCACAACCATTACCACCATCCCGGCCGAATAAAAACAATTTCAGAGCCAATTTGGGCTTCTACCTACATGCAGGGTATTTTTCCCCATGCTGAACTCAATCAATCTGATTGAGCTACGGCTACTAACCAAAAGGTTGGCACTTGGAATCCACCAGATGCTCCTTGGAAACTCTATGGGGCCATTCTATTCTGTTCTATAGGGTCACTATGGGTCGGAATTGACTTGACGGCAATGGATTTGGTTTGGTTTTGGTTTTCTGAAACAGCTAATCTTTAAAGATTTCTAGAAAAAGCAAAGCAAAGCACAAGGAGAGTTGGGAACTCCAGATTTGAGCTCTGTCCTGTGAACTCACCAGGAGACCTTGGGCAAGTTATTTCCTCCCTTCAGGCTTTTATGTTCGTATCTGTAAAGAGAGGGGTAAGCTGGATGACCTCCGGGGTCTGTTTCTATTAGGAAAGCCACAATATTAGGGTCATTTGGCAGTGCTGTTTCCTCCTAGTACCTGAGCTCCTTTCCCTGAGCCTGATTTAGCAAGTCTGGGTGGGACTTGAAGGCGCGCTGGTGGCACAGTGGTTAAGCACTCGGCTGCTAAAGGAAAGGTTGGCAGTTCGAACCCACCAGCCATTCCTCAGGAGACAGATATGGCAACCTGCTTCTGTAAAGATTACAGCCTTGGAAACCCTATGAGGGAGTTCTACTCTGTCCGATAGGGTTGCTATGAGTCAAAATTGACTCCATGGCATAGGGTTGTGCTGATGGTGGTGGTGGTGGTGGATGGGACTTGGGAACTTGCATCTTTATCTGAACATGCCCCTCCCCTTTCTCCAGAAGATTCTGATGTGGTAGTTGATCCATGGGCCATACTTGCTGGGTGCCCTGTGTTCAGTCCCTCCATTCTCTTCCTTTACAGAACAGGTCCAAAAAGAATGAAAAGGATTTTTACTTCCTTTTCTAAAACGGGAAACCCTGATGGCCTCGTAGTTAAGAGCTACGGCTGCTAACCAAAATGCTGGCAGTTCGAATCCACCAGGCGCTCCTTGGAAACTCTACGGGGCAGTTCTACCCTGTCCTGTAGGGTCGCTATGAGTCGGAACCGACTCGACCGCAACGGGTTTGGTTTGGTTTTGGTTTTCTAAAACAGCTAATCTTTAAAGGTTTCTAGAAAAAACAAAGCAAAGCACAATTCTCCTTCCCTTTCAAACTAGTGTTAGAGGAGAAAGCACCAGGTTAACCTCCGAACTCCACTCCAACACTTTTCTTTTATCCTTTCCTCTGCTGGGGTGAATGTTTGGGGGTAAGGTATGACTGCTCTCCACCATCTGGGAACTTTTTTCTTGCAAGACAGATGCATAGAATAACTCCTCAACCCTTGCATAAGGAACAACATGGCCAATTCCTCCAGGTGCCAAAAAAGCTACCCTTTCCCCACTGGTTGCCAGGCTCCGAGCTACCCTAAAGGCTCTGCTGGGGTAACCATCCCTTCCTTGGGTCTTACCATAGTCATCTCCCCCAATATGCAGTGTTGTGGAGAGGCTTGGAGATGGTGACATGGATTGAATTGTGTCCCCCCCCAAAAATGTGTGTTATCAGTTTGGCTGGGCCATGATTCCTGGTATTGTGTCCACCATTTTGTCATCTGATGTGATTTTCCTAGGTGTTGTAAATCCTGCCTCTATGGTGTTAATGAAGGGAGATGGGCGGCAGTTGTGTTGATGAGGCAGGACTCAAACTACAGGATTGGATTGTGTCTTGAGCCGGTTTCTTTTGGGATATAAAAGAGAGAAGCAAGCAGAGAGACAGGGAGACCTCATACCACTAAGAAAGCAGAGCCAGGAGCACAGTGTGTCCTTTGGACCTGAGGTTCCTGTGCAGAGAAGCTCCCAGACCAAGGGAAGATTGAGAGAATAAAATGTTTGTTAAAGCCATCCACCTGTGGTATTTCTGTTACAGCAGCACTAGACAACTAAGGCAGATGGTATCTAGTAAGTCCTTAACTAGATGCCTCACATCTAGCATTTCTTATATTTTCTGATCTTCCCTTCTGCTTTATTGGTAACTATCTGGTCATAAATACCTCATCATTCATTGCCTCAAATCCATTTTGGGAGTAGACAAGTGAAAAATGGTATTCCCTGGGTGGTGCAAATGGTTAAGTGCTTGACTACTAGCTGAAAGGTTGGCGGTCCGAACCCAACCAGAGGTACCTTGGAAGACAGGCCTGGTGATCTGCTTCCAAAAGGTCACAGCCTTGAAAACCCTATAGAGCAGTTCTACTCTGCAGACACGGGGTTACCATGAGTTGGCATTGATTCGACAGCAACTAACAACAATAACGAGTGAAAAACAGTAAAGAAATTACTCTCTGCCTTATATTCCCTCCCATACTCATTCCTGCCTGCTAGGCGGAAAGCCAAGGCAGAAGTTTGAGAAGATGGATTTTTATTTTTTCGTAAAAAAAAAATAAATAAAATGAGTACACTGGCTTGGATTTTCTCCCCGTCTCTACTCTCCCCCTTACGGGAAAGAAACAACCACTGTAAGGATCCTTAAGATAGCCAGACAGCAGGCCACCTGGCCCTACACTGGAGGGGAAGACGTTGGACACATGAGGGGTCAGAAAGAAGCATGGTAGGCAGGTGGGCGAGTGCAGCCTCTTCCAGTTCTGGGCTGTGGGGTAGGAACCATCTTCAGTGGGGACGGACAGTCCCGGCCTCTCCTTGGAGCTCTCACAGTTCAGTCTTCACCTTGTGCATCAAATCCTTTTGGTCAATCTTGTCTAGGTCCTGGTACCAGCGGTTGTAAGCCAGCAAGGCCACGTTCTTGGCAGCTACGGCCATCATCTCCACGGAGCTGGCTGCCCACTCCAGGGCGTTGAGGTAGAAGAGCTGGTCGTGGAGTGCGAACCGCGGGAGGGTGCTGTGGGAGCCGTAGAGGGGGTGGGCCTGCCACTCGGCGGTCTGTACTGAGTAATAGGAACGGAAGAGGGTCTTTAACTGGGTCCGAAAGAGGGGTTTGGGGGACTGGACTCTCCAGACTGCTGCCTCCTGAGGCTGCTTCCGCCGGAAGTTGGCTGAGATGTTGACAGGACAGATGTTGTCCAGAGCACAGAAAAAGCTGGGGAAATCTGTGGTAAGGATGCTGGCGAAAGGGAAAAGTTTAGGGTCGGGGAAGCCGAAGTAGGAAGAGTTGAGGTAACCGTGGACTAAGGAGACAATGGTGGGCTGAAAAGAGCCCTGGATATTATCAATGGGTGGGCTGAAGCCTTCGAAGGTGAGGTTGCTGCTGCTGTTGTCCAGGTGCAGGGGGGTAGCGATGACCACTATGTCGTAGAAGTCAGAGCCGTGGCCCGCCTCATTCTCATACCCCACCTGGTACAGGGCTTTCCCTTCTGGAAGGAGACAGAAGAGAGCACACAAGTCAATTTACTTCTTGCCTGCTATCTGCTGACCTCTCATCTGGGGCCCACCACTGAAGGTACAACACCAGGGTCCCCTACAGGAAAGGGTGCAGCTGGGTCTAGAAGGTGGTCCCGGTCTTCCCATGCTGGTGTGGCTGCAGTGGACAGCACTGGACTGGAGTCAGGGGACCCAGTTCTTGTTCTGGTTCTGCCGCTGACTAGCCGGGGGGCAGCTGGCCAAGGTTGTCGCTCAAAGTTGTCATTGGTAAAATGGATGGTGCTGGATTAATGAAGTCTCAGTTTTCTGGCTCTGACATTTGAATAGGGGCAACAGTGCCCTCTGGTGTCACTCAGCAGTGCTGGGGCATCCTGTTACTTTTTTTTTTTTCCTTTTTTTTCTCTTAAAGGGCCCTAGTGGTGCAGTAGTTAAACGTTTGGCTGCTAACCAAAAGGCTGGCAGTTTGAATCCACCAGCTGCTCCTTGGAAACCCTATGGGGCAGTTCTGCTCTGTCCTATGGGGTCGGGATAAATTGGAATTGACTCGACGGCAACGGGTTTGGTTGTTCGGTTTTTCTTCTCCCTGAACACTCCCCAACAGATCACAAACCAGGCTTCAGGTACAGAGGTGACAGCAGTGTGGACTGTCTAGGAATGGAGAGGCCATGCCTCCTGCTCTGTCCACTCACCTGTGCTATGCAGGGTCACAGAGGTCACGGTGGCGTGGATCACGTTGGCTTTGGTGAGCCTCAGCAAACCGGAACAAACCAGCTTGTTGCCTCCTTCCACAGACCACAGGCTGCCTTGGGCCCCGGCTAGCGACATGGCTCCTGGGTAAAGCGGGGATGGTGGCTGGTGGGTTCTCAGAAGCACCATGAGCAGTGGGGCTGGAGAGCCCAGCACCGTCCTACCTGGGCCTCCCTCCTAGGGCAAGGCACCTCCCAACCACAGGCAGAGAAAGATAACAAACACACAATACAATAAAATTAAAAATGCTATGAAGTGAAAGCATTATGCTAAGTGAGAAGCCAGCTAGCCACAAATGATCACATATTGTATGGTTCCATTTATAGGAAATATCCAGAATAGGCAAATCCATAGACAGAAAGGAGATTAGTAGTTGCCTAGGGCTGGAGGGCTGGGAGGTTTGGGGAGTGATGGCTAAAGGGTATGGGGTTTCTTTTTTGGGGTATGAAAATGTTCTAAAATTGACTGTAGTGATGGTTGCAAAACTCTGTGAATATACTAAGAACCCCTGAACTGTACACTTTAAATGTGTGAACTGTATAGTATGTGAGTTATATCTCAATAAAGCTGTTATGAAAAAAAATGCTATGAAGGATACACACAAGACACTGGAAGAGTGAGCAAGGAAGCCCCATTGAGGAGACACTGAGGCAGGACCTGAAAGATGGGAAGGAGCCAAGCATGCCAGGGGCCAGGGAAATGGTGTTCTGGGCACATGGGAGGTGCCTGTTAAATACAAACCTTTTCATTCATTTATCCAACAAAACTTTATCAAGTGCCTACTGTGATCTTGGAGCCCTGGTGGTACAGTGGTTAAAAGCTCGGTTGCTAACCAAAAGGTCGGCAAGTTCGAATCTACCATCTGCTCCTCGGAAACCCTATGGGGCAGTTCTACTCTGTCCTATTGGTTGCTGTGAGTCGGAATCAACTCGCTGGCAACAGGGATGTCTGGGGGAGGGGGCAGTGGTGTTCAGTGGTAGGATTGTCACCTTCCACACAGGAGACCTAGGTTCAATTCCTGGCCAATGCACCTCATGTGCAGCCACTACCCGTCTGTCAGTGGAGGCTTGTGTGTTGCTTAACATGTTTCAGCAGAGTTTCCAGACTAAAATGGACTAGGAAGAAATGCCTGGGGATGTACTTCTGAAAATCAGCTAATGAAAAACCTATGGATCACAATCATTCCACTGTGCGTGGCGTTGCCTTGAGTCAGAAATCGACTTGACAGCAACAGGTTTGGTTCTTTTTTGCAGTGGAACATGCCTGGAATGTTCAAGAGGCCACATTGGTGTGAACACGTGCAAGAGGCGATGGGGACTAGATCATGGAGGGTCTTGCAGTTCATTGGAATGATCTGGGGTTTTACTTGAATGAAAGTGAGAGCCATTGCAGAGTTTTATGTGCAGGCATGACATGCTCTGTCTTGTTTTAAAAGGATCGTCTGGCTGATGTGTTGAAAAACAGCTTGAAGGGGTAGGAGGGGAGCAGGGAGACCTGTAAGAGACTTGCAGTAGTTCCGGTGAGGGATGCTGGTGGCTAGAGCAGGGTGGAAGCAGTGGTGAGAAGCAGTGGATTCTGGATCTATGCTGAAGGTAAAGCAGACAGGATTTCTGATGTACCACATGTATGGTATGAGAGAAAGAAATGAGTCAAGGTTTTGGCTGGAACAACAGAATGGGAAAGAGTTCTTATCAACTAAGCTGGGGAGGACTATGGGAGGAGCAGGCCTGAGGAGAAAGTTGGGAGCTCAGGTTTGAATGGGCCAAGTTTGAGATGCCCACCGGACCTCCCAGTGGAGATGCAGAGGTGGCAGCTGACACAGGAGTCTGCAGTTCCAGGGAGAGGTCTGGGAGCCACTGTTAAATGGATGGAATTTAAAGTCTTGAGACTCGATGAGATTGCCAAAGGGATGTGTGTAGTTGAGAAGAGAAGAGGCCCAGGACTGAGTCTGGGCCCTCCCACTGGATGAGGCTGGGAGAAGAGAAAGAACCAGCCCAGGAGGCTGGGAGGAGGCCAGTGAGTGCCTGTGGAGTGAATTGGCCTGGCAAAATCCTACCACATCTTTCAAGGCCCAGAACAGTCACCATCCCTTGGGGAAGACTTGCCCCAGCTCCCCCAGGCAGATTTAGCTGTGACCCCTCTGTGTGGCCTGAGCTGGAGGATGGGTTGCACACTGCCCACCAGCTCCAGTAAGGAGCTGGGAAGAGTGGGTGCCCCAGTGGATGGATACCAGGGACCAGAGGCCTCAGAGGGGCTATTCTTGAAACTGATGAGTGAAGAGCAAATTATCGTCTAAAGTGTAACATTTACACACATACAAAGGGTTATCAGGCAACCAGGAGTGGCAGAAACACTCAGGACCTGTGATCTGAGCCTAACTTTAAGTGTCTGTGAAGCGGGGTGAACACCCTCTTCTGCCTACCTCGGAGGACTGATGCTTAGGCAATGAGCTGGTTAGATGTAGGTGATGCCTGGGACCCCAGCCCATCCTGAGCACCACAAGTAGGTTGAGGGTGGGCACGCTGAGGCTGGGAGGCTCACCAGCAAAAGCAGGCATTGCTGCTGACTGGCCGTAGCTGGCCCGCAGGACGGCAGAGATGACGTCGTCGATGAAGCGCTGTGTGACGCCCACCTGGAGCAGGGACTCGGCCACAGAGCGCTGGGTCATGTTGACGAAGGCAGACTCCCCCAGAGAGTAGAGCAGCTCCTCCACGCCTGAGAAGGCGTAACCGTGGGCCTGGTACTTATAGATCCTGGGAGACACACAGAGCTGGGGCCCTCGTGCAGAAAGCTCTTTTGGCTGGCCACCCACTATTGGGTCCCCATACCCGGGAGGCCTGCCAGGGACCTGCCACCTCTTCTGCATGTGAAGGGGAGAGGAAGCTGGCCAGCTCCCCTTGCCCATTCTCTGGCTGTGGTGGGACCTCTCACCTGAAGGGACAGCACCGAGTGAAGGGTGAGCAGTCCTGAGTCCCATTAGACCTGGCTGCACAAACTGGCTCTGCTGAGTGACAACTAACTCACCTATGACCCACATGCTGCCTGAGGTCACTGTCCACAGCCCGACTCCTGCCCAGCTGAGACTGCAGGCAGTGGAGAAGGCTGAGGCATCCCTTCTCCAGCAGTTTCGGCTCTGCATTGGCTTCTAGGACCATGGGACCTGATGGCAGCAGCCTCATGCCAATATTGTCACCCCCTCTGCTAGCCTAACCTATCCTCTCCTCTGGTCCAACTTGACATGGTTTCTACTCACTCCTCGAGCCTCGTGTCTTGTCCCTCCACAACTCACCCAACCTCAGGGGCTGGCACTTGCCCTGGAATCATCGGCTGATGGGCTTCAGACTGGCTGGTCTTTGGGATGTTGCAAACATGTTGAGTTTGGGTGTAGATATCTAGGAAGCAGTTAAGATGTGGGTCTGCAAGTTAAAGGGAAACTGGGGCTTGACATGTAGAAGTCATCTCCCACAAAAGGGAGAACCCAGCATTGTAGCTTTGGATAAAATTGGCAAGGGAGAAAACTATAAGAAAGAAGAAAGAGGGGTCAGAGACATAACCTTTGGGGGGCATCCAGAGAAGACAGCAAGAACCATAAAAAGCATAGTGGGGAAAAAAGCGGGAAGAAGTGGTATAGAAGTGCCAGAAACCAGGGAAGGAGGGCTGGAGGCCATGCTTGTGTGTCTGACACTGAAGAAAAGGAAATAAGAACAGGCTGGAGGAGCAGCTTCTGCATCTGGGGCCAGGAAACAATGAGAACTTTCGGGGGGACTGTGGGGAAAAAGTTGAGGCTGAACAGCTTGGCAAGTGAGTGGACACACTGAGAACAGATCGTTTGTCCTTGCTGTCTGGAGGTGATGGCCAGGGGGCTGGGAGCCCAGGAGAGAAGTGTTGAAGGAAGGTAATTGTTATCTAGGTGAAAAAACTAGGGTACAGCCGAGTTGTTAACTGGTGGCCCGCCGGCTGCATCTGGTCTACACATGTGTCTCATTTGGCTTATAAGATGAGTGGGTTGCCTACATTGAAAAACTGAGAGCTTTCACATACAAATCTGGCTTCTAGTTTCTTCTGAAAGATTGGAGCTAGCCAATGAGGTCAGTAGTCCCACAAGGCCATAGTTGGTTGTAGCAGAGTGCTGGCTGTCCCCTTCAGGTGGGCCCTGCTCTTCAGGGCACCCCGCTGCCCACTGCTCCCTGTTCTCTTCCACCCAGGTTGCTTCACTGCTTAATGTCCCAGCTCAGCCCCTGTAGGCAACTGGGTTTGCAACCCATGCTTTTTTCAGGTTAGTAGAGGGAAAGAGAATGCCAGAGCAACATTGCCTGAGAGACAATCCCTGCACCAAATAAGTCCATTCCTCACACTAAGGGCTTGCTCTAGCCCAGACTGAATTGTGCTGGGCTCTCAGAGTCAGCAAATACCTTTTCCTTTTGGACCATTTTTCAGTCATGCTGGTTCCTTCCCAACCTAGTCCTCCCTGCATGCGTCCCCGCAGCTCCGGCCAGCCTCACCTCATGAACTTCTCCATGACCTCCTCCACCCACATCTGCAGCCTCAGGAAGCTGATGCCATAGTGCCACCAGAGGCGGAAGAGGTTTAGCAGGTACCAGTCAGTCTCCTCCAGCACGAAATGCTCCCCGCCAAAGATGGCGCTCCTGCCCACCACCTCGCGCCGATGCCTCAGCCCTGAGGAGACAAGCAGGAACCCCTCAGGTCCCCTTCAAAGGTTCCCCCCCACCCCCCCAGGACACCTGGCAGTGCCTTAAGCTGAAACACAGGGCCTTCCTAAAGGATACAAGTGGACTGGTTCCACAAAAGGAAACAGTCTGCATGGTTCATTTGTGCTGCTTGTTTATAAATAGTAAACAAATGCACTGGGAAAATATTTAGCCTTGCTAGTCATTACAGAAATGAAAATTAAAATAATGTAGTGTTTTATATTTTTTCAATAGTGATCCCCTCATCTGTGAGTAGGGAAATTCAGGTGCCATCCCAGAATGCCCAGGGTTCGCTCTGAGAAGGAGGCCCTGGGCACCAAGACCAAATGGGAAATAACCACTGCTGCATTCAACTGTGAAGCCCTCTACAATATACACAGCACCAGGGCTCACACCATCTCACTTTGTCCTCTAACAGCCCGAGAAGAGGCAGATCAGGTATCATTACTCCAAATTAAAGACGGGAAAACCAAGGCTTAGAGGTTCTACGACCTGCCCCAAATCACAGATCTTTTTTTTGTTTCTTTCCCTCCCAGTCCTGACCCTGAGCCATTAAGGACATTTCTGGAGCATACTTCCAGAGATATTTTGTGTACATACTCATAAATATGCATACATCTACAATTTTTTCTCCCTCCACCCCCACATACCATAACCACTATTCTCTACCTTAACAATATACTGTGTCTTGGAGATTGTTCTGTATCTGGACATAAAGGGCTTCCTCATTCTGGCTGCTGAATGGTTGTTATGGATTGAATTGTGTCCCTCCAAAACGGGTCGACTTAGCTAGGCCATGATTCCCAGAATTGTGTGATTGTTCACCATTTTGTCATCTGATGTGATTTTCCTATGTGATGTAAATCCTACCTCTATGATGTTAATGAGGCAAGATTAGAGGCAGTTATGTTAATGAGGCAGGACTCAATCTACAGGATTAGGTTGTTATCTTGAGTCAATCTCTTTCGAGATATAAAAGAAAGAATCAAGCAGAGAGGGGAGGTACCTCCTACCACCAAGAAAGCAGAGCCAGGAGCAGAGTATGTCCTTTGGACCTGGGGTCCCTGCACTGAGAAGCTCCTAGATCAGGAGAAGATTGATGACAAGGACCTTCCCCCAGAGCTGACAGAGAAAGCCTTCCCCTGGAGCTGATGCTCTGAATTCAGGCTTCTAGCCTCCTAGACTGTGAGAGAATAAACTTCTGTTCGTTAAAGCCATCCACCCGTGGTATTTTTGCTATAGCAGCACTGATGACTAAGACAACGGTCTACTGTGTGGTGTCCCATAATTTATTTAACCAGTTGCCAGGGGTTAGGCAGGTAGGATATTTTCAACCTTTAGCTATTACAAACAATTGCCATAATGAATAACCTTGTAGGTATGCTGCTTTGTATACGTGCAAGTACCTCTGTAGGATCATTTCTGAGAAGCAGAATTTCTGGGTCAAACAGTATGTGTATTTGTGGTTTTGAAAGATGCTCCTGGGTTTGAATCCTAGTTCCTTCACTTATTAACTGCATGGCCTTGGCTAAGGTATATAAATTTTCTGAGCCTCAATTCCCTTAGCAGGACTTGACACCCATCTAGAGGGCTGGTAGGGAGGATTAGAGGTAATAACTATATACCACCTAGAAGGGCGCCAGCTACCTGGGAATCACGTGGCATATGGAAGCCATTATGATTATAACTCTTAAGAGGCAGCAAATTGGGAGGGAAAGAAACTGGCCTGGGAATCAAACCTGAGTTCTAATCCCGGCTCTGCAACTAACTCACTGTGCAACCTCAGGCAAGTTCTTTCCCCTCTCTGGTCTCAGCTGCTCCATCTGTAAAACGAGGAGATTGGACTACATGACCTTCCAGCCTTGACTGTCTGGGTGGTCTGGGAATGGGCTGAGGCTGGTGGCAGTGCCGGGGAGCTGGGCGCACTGGAGCCAGGACCGTGCACTCACCCAACAGCTTGACGAAGTCCTGCATGTGCAGGCTCAGTGAGTGGAAGGAGGCGGCCCCGCTCTCGTAGTGCTGCTTGTTGACGGAGATCGTGGCTAGGCGGCCGCCTACGGTCCCCTTCTCGTACACATCAATCTGCACTCGGGGCCCAAAGTGCTGCTGCAGGAAATGGGCCACAGCAGAGCCCCCGATTCCGGCCCCAACCACGGCTGTCAGCAGGCCCACAAGGCAGGGAAGGAGAGACAGAGCATGGAAATAAGAGACTGCAGGTGGCACCTTAGTCCCCCTTGCCTGGCAGTTCCCAGACATTTGTGTTTCACAGGCTTATAACATTTCAAAAAGGAGATCTGCACACTGAGTTTTTAGTAAAGTTATTAATAAAGCACAAAGACCAACCTAAAAACCGCCTCCTACTATAACTCTCATTTTATAATGAGACACTTTAGCAGCAAAAGAGCAGGAAAGCATCTCAAAATTCAGGATGGAAATCAAACCTGAGTTCTAATCCTGACTCTGAATAAATAAAGAATAAATTTAGTTTTACACATAATTCATTACATATGCCTATTTTTCTTATTTCACTATGAACTGGTGAGAACTTTGTTACTGGCCAGTACTGTCTGGTGGATCAGTGTTTGGAAACTACTCCTTAACCCCCCTCCCCCCCAAAAAAACCAAAACACCAAACCCATTGCCAGTGAATGAGTCAATTCTGACTCATGGTGACCCCATGTGTTAGAACAGAACTGAGCTCCCTTGGGTTTTCTTGGCAGTAATCTTTACATAAGCAGATCTCCAGGCCTTTCTTCTTCAGTGCTGCTGGGTGGGTTCAAACTGTTAACCTTTTGGTTAGTAGCTGAGAGAGCAAACCATTTGCGTCACCCAGGGACCTCACACTCCTTAATCCAGGGGTCAGCAAACTACAGCCTGTGGGTCAAATCCAGTCAGATGTCTGTTTTTGTAAAGCCTTACTGGAACACAGCTATAGCCTTCCTTTTACTGTCTCTGGATATTTTGGAGCCCTGGTGGTGCAGTGGTTAAGACTTCAGCTGCTAACCAAAAAGGTCGGCAGTTTGAATCCACCAGCTGCTCCTTGGAAACTCTATGGGGCAGTTCTACACTGTCCTATAGGGTTGTTATGAGTCTGAATCGACTTGACAGCAACGGGTTTTTGGTTTGGTATGGGTTTTGCTGCTAGGCAAAGTGGAGTAGTTGCAACAGAGACTAGGGCCCACAAAGCCTAAAATATTTTTTTTATCTGGCCCTTTATAGAAAACGTTTGCCGACCACTCGGCTAGTCCAACCTACCACCTAACACTTAAATCTTTTCTACATTTGTGTTTGCCAAGGCTGGAATACATCCTGGGATGGGTCGCTCACTACCTTATGGGCAGTCTATTCGAGTTTGGACTCGTGTTATGAAGTTTCAGCTTGCTCAGGTCTTTTCTGGATCCGATCATTGATTGTCTTTATATACCTCCCCCCTTTCTGTTATTTGCAAACTTGGTTGTTATGCCATGGATGCTCATGGATATTCTCATCCAAGTCACTGATAAGAACATCTCACTGCACAGGGCTCTGAGGTGTTACTAGGAACCAGTCCAGGCAGAATCTAATCATTAAGTACCAATTTTAGAGAACAGAAAGCTATCTGCAAAGCTATTGAGCTGGACTATCACCTTGCCCACAATTCTTGCCCACCATGAATCTGAGACACAGCTTCCTTCTCATCTGGCAGTCTAGGAACCCTATTTGAAAAGAAAATGAGATAAATCTGGTGTGATTTGTCCTACTGGGCCTACAGGAGACCATACAGACCACCAGCTCCTCATTAAGTAGTGAAAGGCAAACCTCAGATAATATCCAGTTCTTTATGATCTGACCTCCATTTACTTATTTTACCCCTTGCACTACCTACCAATACTCCATCTTCTCATCTGTCTCGAGTTTTTGCTATGGCGTACATGCCCCCGCTCTCTCTCACCCCTGTGCCTTTGTATGAGCTGCTCCCTTGGTCCAAAATGCTGTCATCATTTGCTTGGCTGACTTCTACTGCCCTTATACGTCATTTTTAGCTTGGCTTGCCAGAACCACCTGAGACGCGTCCTCTGTATTCCTGTAGCATGCTCCACTTATCCCTCACCTAGCCCTTGTCACACTCTACTCAGTTTGCTTAAGTGTATCCCTGCAAGCACCGAGAGTGGGGTCACTGTAGCCCCACATCCCGGCAGGAGGTAGAGCTCAATAAGTATGTGCTGCATGTTGAAAGAATAAACCACTTCCTTCACCTCAGTATTTACAAAGTCACTTCTCAGAATGCCCTTATACTCTGTGCAGCTATATACACCAATGTGGTCACCCTTCCCTCCATATGCAAACACTTGCCAATTACCCATTTTCCCAGAGAAACTGAGATCACAAGGCCTGGAAGCTGCTCGAGGGAGATTGGCAAGAAGACAACACCTCATTGTGAACTAGCTCATTTAACACATTTTATCTGACACCCACTCTGATTCTGGGGCATGAACGACAGGGCTTCCGTCCCCAGCAGCCCAGGCAGGAAATGGGCAGACTCATGCACAATTAGCTATACCAAGCCATGATGAAGTGCAACGGCAGGGTTTCAGGGAATCCTGAAGAGGAAGCAATTAATTCTGCCTGAGAGGGTGTGGGGACAAGGGCTTCATAGGAAGTTACATTTGATCAAGACCCTGAAGGACAATATGGTTTTTGCCAGTGAGAAGAAACATATTCTCTATAAACAGAACTGCATGAGAAAAGGAAGTGTGTAGAATGGAACTGTGGGTGGGTTTAAAGGGTCTAGATGTCACACTGAGGTGTTCAGACTTTATCTTGCAGGAGTCCGAGTTTGAAGCCATCCTAACAGGAAGCTCCTCATTCTCCTTGTGGGCAGAGTCCAGACCACCAAGGGTAGACACAGGCTCCTGTCAGAGGGCTGAGGAAAATGAGGAAAGATAAAGGGCAGCTTGCCATTGCCAAGTGTCCTGCCCTGGAGGACTCCTGGGGTGAGGTGGGCAGGGCTAGCTGGAATGGGGCAGACAGTAAGCCCAGCATTGCCAGTGACAATCCTGCTGGGAGGAGCCCTGCCCTTCTCCCAAGGGTCAGGGGGAAGTCCTATCCTGCTACCTGTTCCCATGGGATGGGGTAATACCTTGTACCTCTAGACACTGCTTGCCTGAGGTGGGCAAGTCATTAATAACTTTTCCATCCTTCAAAGTCTGACTCAAAATCTGCATTCTCTATGAGGTCTTCTCTGGCCAGTCTAAAAAAAACAAAAAAAACCCAAACCCGTTGCCGACGAGTTGATTCTGACTCAAAGCGACCCTACAGGACAGAGCAGAACAGCCCCTTAGGGTTTCCAAGGAGCAGCTAGTGGATTGGAACTGCCAACCTTTTGGTTAGCAGCCAAGCTCTTAACCACTACACCACCACGGCTCCCTGGCCACCCTAGTCCTCAGACTTTGCTTTCCTCTGAAAGCTCTAAACTCTGTCCCCAACTGATTTTTGGCATGTTTCAGTCTATTTTAAGTGTTTATTGGCCTAGGCTGTGGTTTTGAAACCCAAGAAGCCTCAGTATAGCACCGGCCCCAACAAGTCTGTGGTGTTCTCGTGGGATTCCCAATGCACTCCTGACAACGGGGCCGGGGGTGCATGGAGGGCCAGAAGCCCAGCATCTCTGCCTATGAGAATTTTATATGAGAGGGACTTGGAAATCATCAGGATTCCTAAGAGTTAAAATAACAGTTGCTAAAAGGAAGGAAAGACTCTAGGCAAATATTGAATTCTAGCTAATGGTATGCATGATGAAGTATCTGGTGAAGTGTACTGATGTCTGCAATTTACTTTGCAATGCATCAAAATAACCCATGTAAGATGGAATAATGGTGCATAGAAGGATGTGTGATAGATGTGTGATAAAGCAAACAGTAGCTTTTGTTAATGGTAGAATCCAGGTGGTCACTATATTGATCTAGTGACGAACACTATAAAAATCTTTCAACTTTGCTGCACATTTGAAAAATGTCAAAATAAAATGCTGGAAAAACCACACAAATAATAAACAAGACGACTGCTGTAAAATGTTTCCCGCTGTCATTCCGCAAATCTTTCTCCAGCAGACCTACCACAGGCTCTGTCTCTGATAAAACTGTCTCTTACTTGTTCCCGGGGATTCAGCTTACAAGTTCCTTCTAGGAAGCTCTCCCCAGCCCGCAAAGCCTGAGGTGAAGCGCCTTTCTCGGCATTCAAGGCACAGTCTCAGCCACAGTATACAACTTCCCTGTACTGTGCAGTCTCCCCTCCAGGAAAGCACTGTCGAGCACTATGCCTGCTACATAGGCGGCTCTCAATAAACCTTTGTGAATGACATCGCTCAGACCCTGTCCTGTCACCGGGCGCCTAGTAAGCAGCCAGGTCCACAGCAGATGCTCAATTAGTGACGCTGGACCTTACGGTGAGACCTATGGCCAGTCCTGTCCAAGCCCCTTTTCCGTCCCGGGTAGCCTTCTTCACATCCCCATGCCTCCATCCCCATCAGCACCTTCCCCACTGCCGTCCCCTTCCTTCTCCGGTCCCAGTCCCTCCCTGTCTTCTCCACCCACCCAGCTCCTCTCCGAGGACCCCTCCCTCGCCCAGCTGCCTTCCCCTTCCCCCACTCGGCTCCTCCCGGCTGAGAACCCTTTTCCCGCCCAGCTCTCCCAGCAATTCCATCCCGTCCTTCCCGCACCGATTTTGCCGGGCGGGGCGTCTCCGCCTGCAGCAGCTGCGGCGAGGAGCGCGGCCAGAGCGGCGAGGAGCGGGGCAGCGCGGGCCATGGCGGGTGTCGACCAGGTCGGCGCGCCGGGGATCGCGCTCTCTGGCTGGCGATCAACTCATCACCCCTCCCGGGTGTCCGTTCCGCTTTCCAGCCTCAGCTGGTCGCAGCCTCTCATTGGACGAGCAGCAGTCCCTCTCCATCACGGGACCTCATTAGCTACATCTCTCTCCGGGCAGGATTCCTCATTGGCAGCTTCCTCGTCCCCGCCTCCTGGATGCAGGTTCCTCATTGGCTGGCTCGCCCTTGCTCCGGCCCAGGTGTGCGCGCTTCGATCCTCGGCATCAGGACCAGGGCACAGCTGCTGACTGATGGAAGAGGCGTTGAAGCGTTGAAGACTGGTTTCCAGGTCCAACCTCTGAGAGCTGTCTCTGTAATGTGCATTTTCTGTGTCTTACTCAGTTTCCTCTCTTTGTAAAAACAGACAGAACAATCCCAACTCTAGCTAGGTGGTTGTGACGATCACGTGAGATAAGGGGACATGAAACCGCTCTGCAGTGTTTGTCTGCAAGTCCTGGAAATTGCTGACCAAGCATGCAGCCAGGGTGGCTAGACACTGCCCTATGCATATGCTAAGACAAGCCCGATCCTTTTGAGACTGCTATTTGTATTTCCAGTTTCTATAGTTTTCATCTCTGCCTTACTTGTTAAAACCCAAAAGGGAAGAGTTTCATCCACTGTCTTCCCAAAGGGGAGGAAAGGAAAGAAGCAAGGGATAAGCTCTCATTTCCATCCTCTAAGAAAACAAGAACAGCTCAGTGTGGCTAGTCTACCACACTGTGAGGGACAGATACCCCCTGGCAGAGAAAGTTGGGGATAGAGTTTCAGTATAAATAAGGAAAACTCACATTTATTCAGACAGATTATGGGTAAGAAACTGAAGGGACTGGGAGAATAGTAAAAGCTTATAGCTGGGGTTCTAAGTCAACTGCTGTGAGTCTTAATAAAGTAACTGGATTACTAAGTAAAATGGTAGGTGAATAAATATGCATTTGTACTGCTGGACTCCTGACCATCCTCCCGACCAGGTTACTGGCATGTAGCCTTGTTCTGACCTCACCTTCCATGTGTCCTTCCCATCTTCTGACTGCCTGGCCTTGTCTTTACCTCAGCTTCTCAGCTGGCTTTCATATGCGTGCTCATCATCCGGGCTGAGTGGCCTTCTTTGGAGCCAGCCTTTCCTAAGGTCTGGCCTTGCATTTTCATTTTCATGGTGGTTCCAGTGCTGTCTGTATCCTCTGGTTCCATAATCTATTGTTTTCCATATCCCCAGTGCTCTCCAATAACTATATTCTTATTCCTATCCACTCAGACTTTGTTCACACTTTCAAGTTCACTGTGGTGGTTTTAAAACATGGCCCCCAAATTCTCTGACATTTCTCATATTGAGGGCTGGGCTGCTGTGAAATCTCAGGGTACCACCATTGAGAATCAGCATGGTAGGTGAGCAGTCAATGAAGTGACCCTTACATTGAAAGGGGCTATGTGGAAATTTCACATTTATTGTCAATTGCCAACAGTATAGGCCTAGCTTCCTGGGTATTATTAATGCCTAGCTTGCATAGTTCACTTTTGCATGCTCCTATGATTTTAATTTGTTTTCCTCCTATCCCCGCCTCTTGCCTTCCCATGACTTTGAAGTTTAAGTTTCTCTTTGAGAGGTAGAAGGACTTTGGAGAGGAGAGTAACTTATCTGCAACGTGCTAATAACGGGGCAAGATGACCTTCAACAATTGCCAGGTGCAGAATGTAACCACCAAAAACAAAAAAACTATAATCTTGTCCATATAAAAACTTTTAGCGAGTCTCCAAAGGGGAGACAGGTCTTTTGGAGGAGCTCATTCCCCTCTGTCTCCTGTATATTGATATACAATAAAACACTCTTGCTGCTCACCTCACCCGTCTCAGTATTGGCTTCTGCGGCAGGCGGCTCAGACCCACCACTGCGGTAACAACATGCCACTGTAAAATACGAATTAGGCACACAAAGACACTCTAAACAGCTAAACCACTGTTACTTCAATTTGGGTTTTATTAAACTTGTTCCTCAACATTATATTTCATCCTTTGTCTTCCCCATTTGGGTCTGCTTTCTTCCCTTATCAAATCCTTTGCCAGAAGGAGAGCACCAAATAACTCACACCAAACGGACTGATTCCTTTATGGCAATAAGGAAACGTCAGTAAAAGACTTATAGAATCCAAGTACTAAAATCCTAAGATCCCCTCTTCAAGTGAGCCAAAGCTTCCTTACATTATCATCTGCATGCCAATAAGCCTTTCTGCTTTACCATCAACATGAAAAGAATTAAGACACTGACAAAATATTCTTGCTCTTTCAGTCTAAAAATGTGGATTTCTGTGTTATGGTTAAAAGCAAGCAAACAAACATAAACTCACTGAAAACTGGAAGGAAAATAAGCCATTGTGATTGATTATCTTACAAGTTTTTTTAATAATTAATCTTCACTTAGCCAGTCTTCCCTCTTCCTAGACTTTAGGCAGCTATAAAAACAATGTGTAAAATAAAAAACAATAAAAATAAATATTTACTGAGGGCCTACTGTAGTAGGCAATTTACAGATTTCATTTAATCCTCACAATATCATGAGAAAATTATTATAACCATTTTACAGATATGGCAACAAACTTAGAAGGGTGAAATGACTGGTGCCCAAAGTCACACAGAGGTGACTGAGCTGAGATTTGGGTTCAAGTCTATGTCTACCAAGCCTATGCTCTTTCAATTATGCAGCTCTGCCTTCCTAAAACCCGTCAGCTTCTTGAGATTCTTACTCCATAGTTTCATTTTCTAGATTTCAAGTCTGCAAAACTACTGAGTAATAAAAGAATCTAAAATGATTCTCAATCTATTTGCAAAAACATGAGATAAAAAAAAGTGTACTAGAAAACTCGAGGTAATCAGAACATTTCATACCTAGTTTTTTAAATTCCAGTTTCATTGGTAATGAGAGCTAGTAATCCAAGAACAAACAAGGATTATTAGCTCATTTTCTTACTGTCACTATCTGCAAATCTCATAGGAATGAAAGCAAATAAACTCCTGTTGTGAAATTTGTTTGATTGCTCATTGAATTTATAATATGCACCCAGTGGAATGTCAAAGGATTCTGGTTTTAAAATATTACCACTAATCTTTTCCTTGCGCTTTAGAAGTGTGTATTTACTTCTTTAAGGATCTATACTTTGTGGAGATGGTAGGGCTCACAGAGGGGGATGATGCCTTTACATCAATCAGAGGTAGGCATCTGTCTTCTTGTTTGCTGTTGAGTAGATTCTGACTCATATCAACCCTATATGACAGAGTAGTACTGCCCCAGATGGTTTCCTAGGCTATAATCTGTATGGGAGCAAATTGCCAGGTTTTTTCTCCCCCGGAGTGGCTGGGGGGTTTGAACTACTGACCTTTCAGTTAGCAGTCAAGAGCTTAACCTTTGTGCTACCAAGGCTCCTTATTTGTCTGTGTAGTGTCCTTAGAATGATCTATGATGTCTAAGAGGGTAACTTCTGCTGTCTCACTGAATAGGACTATTGGGTTCCAGAAATAGAAACGGCTTTACTTTACGGATAACTAAAAAGCCCTGGTGGCGCAAATGGCGCTCCATTACAACTGAAAAGTTGGCGGTTTGAGCCTACCCAGCGGCTCCGTGGGAGGAAGATCTGGTGATTTACTTCAGTAAAGATTACAGCCAAGAAAACCCTACGGGACTGCTATAAGTCAAAATCGACTTGACGGCACCTGACAACAACTTACACCTAAACTTATGTAATTTGGACATTTAACAACATCTAACCGTCTGCTGGGCACATATTTGCATGTTCATTAAAGAACTGTTGAATTTTAAGTGACTGAAGTTAATATCTAGCTGTTTGTTATTCAAGTCCTCACTGAAATTTAGCTCCTTGGTTTAGAGATTTTTTTTTTCCTTTGGGTACAGTCCTAAAAACTAGGCGTTCATACTTCAGAAGAAGCTAAAAGAAAACGATTAGACCATCACTAAGGCCTCTTTTAACATTAAAATATCCATAATTGACCTCCTTATTAAAGTCTGACTGATAATATCATTCATTCACAAACTCACTTATTAAAACAAATCTTATTACAGGACATCAGCTATAAGCAAGACTGAAAAAATAAAAAACAACACATAGGTCCTGTACTCTAGATGGTTAATACTTAAAAGGGGAGCTAGATGTTTATACATAGCTGACATAAGACAGATTGAAAAAACTAGGAAAAAAAACTCATTGCTGTAAGAGAGGTAGTGATTTGTGAGAACCAATTAAAGAAAAAAAGCCTCAGCATAACTAAATGGAATTAGGAGAAAGTGTGGGAATCTGACATTTTTGTTCTGATCACTGTCCCTAATAATCTACTTGATAATGGATAAGGCAAATCTGACAAAGGGACAGACTTCAGGGCTGATGGAAAGAGAAACTGTAGGTAAATTACAATATGGACCAATTTAGATCACAAGCTGTTGCGGCTAGCTCAGTTTCCCTGAAGCAATTGTATAACTACAGAGGCTGAAGATAATTAGATAACTCAGAGCAAAGAAAGTGCAAAGTTTCTCAGCCATCCTTGCTTGGAAGGTACCTGAGTACTCAGATTTCTTAAAGTTCTCCACTTTCCAAGTCTTGCCTGGGCCTTCAGCCCTTGCAAATAGGAATTAGAAAGAGGTGCATACGGGACGGCGAGTGTGAATATGAAGTCTACTTGGTAGGGACAAGGACAAAAAAAGGCTAAGAGGAAAATAATAAAATGAAAAAGGGAAGTCCTAAAATATCTACATGTATTAAAATCAACCCAAATGATCTAAATTTATACAACTATAAAGCTTTATCATCTAAGTACCCAAATGTTGAACCCTATCATCCTCTTTTTCTAAAAAGTCCAAGATCCTAAATAATTCCTATTATAAGGCCCATTAGAAAGGAACATTTAGTTGAAAATACATAAACACATACTTATTTCCACCTTTAAAAAGGTTTTGAATTGAAAGTCATCTGAGTACCAATTTAAAAGTAATTTTCTTAAACATATTTTGATAAAGGCCATAGGAACACTTGTCACATTGTTCAAATGCCCAATGGCGAGATTTCTGATAAGACCAAACAGGTCACATTAAATCAACAGAACAGCTTATAAATAAAGCCAATATGACTAACTCCGAAACAGATCACATGAAGTACCTCATGTACAATACAAACCTAGTTTAATAAATAACAGAAATACAGGTGACTGCACTCTGGGAGAATATTCAGTTCTTGAAGGCCCATTCACAGTCTTCTCTGGGACTCCACTGCCACTTCCACTCGGGCAAGTCTAATGGTGCGGCCCTGAAGTTTGTAGCCATCTTGCCTTACTAATGCCACAGTGCCAGGCTGCACCCCAACACCAGCTGGCACATGACAGATGAGTTCATGCTCATGAGGGTCGTATTTGTCCCCAATGGGTGTCATTTTCTCCAGGCCATGCTTGGCAAACACACTTTTCAGCTTTGCTTCTAAAAGTGACAACCCCCGGAAAACCTTCTCCAGAGTGAGCTTCTGGTCCCCAGACTCTGTTCCTCCAGAAATACATTCTGTGGTCTTCTCCAAAATGTCTGCCACTTCCACCAAGTCCTTACAGAAACTCTGGATTCCTATTGAAAAACCAGACACTATTATTATTTGTGAGGAAATTATCCCTGACTCAGCCTTTGGGAGTAGAGCTTGGGGAAGGCCCAGATAGGCAGCTAGTATACTGGGTACCCCCAGGAAATAAGGTTACCGCACAGGTCTCAGGAATCATCACCACTGCTGATTAACACCCCAACCCAACTGTCAAGCCTATGTTTCCCTTAGAAGGCATATATGACCAGGTACCCTACTAGGAAATGGGGAAGATGGTTAGAAAGCAAGAACTAAAAAGGGTAACACTATTATACATTAATCAGACCTACCGTTTTTAAACTTGACTTTTTATGCTTCTTATATTTTTGTTGCTATTCCCCATTAGTACTGAGTTATGTACAGTTTGAAAATTCTTGTCTCAGTTGTGCTAAGGTATGCATTCTTAAGGAGGGGGGAATCGTCTTAGAAATTAGTATTTCATGAAGGAGTGACATGATTAGGAAAAAAATACCTAAAAAAGGCTCTTTTGCGGGGACAGGGGTGGTGATAATATTAAGAATGGTTTACTCTTGAGGACTGGGTAAATAAACACAGATCCATAGATGAGGTATGTCTTCAACTACCTGCTATGAAGCTATACATACTTGCTGGAGATGGAAATTTCACAAATTTCTCTCATCTTTTTAGAGCCACACAAACTGTTACAAGATAAAAATAAACTCAGTTTCTGAGGAATCCCATTACTCCCAGTTTCTTACAGAAATGATAAGAATGTTATCCTTACAGATGTCCATGGCACAAAATTACGGGGCAGTGGTGGCTCCGAGGTAGAATTTTTGCCATCCATGCAGGAGACCTGGATTTGATTCCTGGCCAATGCACCTCATCTGCAGTCACTACCTGGCTGTCAGTGGTAAACTGCATGGTGCTATGATGCTGAACAGGTTTCAGTACAGCTTCCAGACTAAGACAGACTAGAAGAAAGTCCTGGAGATATACTTCAGTCAGTAGAAACGCTATGGATCACAATGGTACAATCAATCTATAATAGATCATGGGGGACGGCACACGATTGGGCAGTATTTCATTCTGTTGTACATGGGGTCGCCGTGAGTCACACAGCACTGAGTGAAGAGCAGACGGCTATGACAAGCACTGGGGTTGGACAGAACAGGAGTGAAACGAATCCTATGCACAAATAGCAGACAAAATCCAGAGAACATGAAGTAGTGTCACATAGGTTAAAGAATAATAGACTAGGGGTCAGGAGACAACAGATCCAAGTCTACATCAGTCATCAACTAACTCTTTTGTCAGCTCATCCGTAAAAGGTGGGGACCAGACTAGATAAAATCCAAGGGTGCCTCTGAAGCTCTTTTATTCTATGTGTAGTGACAGAAAGTATCATGCTCCTACTGAACTGTGAGTACAAGTATTAAGAGATTTGCCTTTTATTCGTGAATCCGTTACTCAACTAACACTTTCATGAACACCTTTGGAACACGATGTGGTGTGTGTAGGGAAAAATCTGTGAAAGACTTTGAAATGGACTAAAAACATTATTCGAGGTCTTCAGTGAAAAAAATAGATGTGCCCTAGCACAGCCTTCAGGGTTATCAGGGTTATGGGGTCTAAGCCTTTGTTGTTGAGCTATTTTATAACTTTGTAAATTGTAGAATAATGATAGTAATGCAAATGGTTCTTGTCCATAGTGAAATTGTCTGGTGGAGATACAGCTGATATAGACCAGTTTTGCTCCTATTGCTCTTTGGATTCTCCTTTGAACATCTCAGTGATTCACTTGCTCGTTAATAGGTCAAACAGAATTATTTGTACAAGTACTAGAATGTTGATGTAATAACTGTAAATGCTTGGAAAACAAAATAAAAAACTATGTTGGGTTTGGTCAAAATAAAGGAAGTAACATTTTAGTAAAGGGTTCACTTGATATCACTCCTGAGAAGCAGCACAGGAAGTCTATGGGATAGCGAAGAGTAGGATCTGGTAAAGATCCAGGTCTTAATGTGTTCAGTTTGCAGAACTGTCCTTAAATTGAAAGTAAGGTATTTTTTATTTTTATTGTGAATAAATCTCTAATATCTCACTTACCAAATATCTTGGCGTCTTCTATACATCTCTGGGTTTTCCTCCTTATGTTTTCAGAATCAGCCACAGCTCTCTGGTATCTCACCTGAACATCAAAAGCAAAGTCAAAATGGTAACAAATGTTAACTGGTGGCAAAGGATGTTTTTGCTCATTTTACAAATTTCACCTTTGTGATTCATTTTTATAAAACACCCAGGACTTGTAGGAATCTTAGGTCAGCTACTCGAAATCCCCAGTCAAAGCAGGAACCTACTTGTTAGCAGCTGATAGGTAGCCATTTACCCTGCTAGTTTAAACACTCAGCAACAAGGAGCTCATTATCTTAGGAAACAGCTTTCTTTTTCACATTCAGCCAACATAGCCACCCTCCAACTTTGTCACTAAGCTGTGCAAGTAAGTTTTAATAGTGTATTAGCTATTTGACAGCAGCTTTTTTTTTTTTTAAGCCCCTTTAGTCTTTTTTCACTTTCATACTTACAATCCCTGGTGCCTTCAATTATGGTTCTTTCTACCATTATGGGTGGTTATGAGGATATAACAAATACCCAATTTCTGCTCCTCTGTTCTATTCTGACACCAGCCGCACACACAGCACTTTTTTCTCTGACCCTAGCCACCCGGAGCTAGGTCAGATCTCACAAGTTAAAAGGACACTGTCCTGAAGGCTGCCAAGTTGCTCCAAGACTTCTAAGATGCCAGCTGCAAGCTTGGGATTCCCTGGGGCTACTCTGACTTCTGACCTGCTGGCTACAAAGTTGGGGTTTTCCTACTACTCCTTTATAATGCCAGCCGCAACCTCGTTCCTCCCTGCCCCGGACTCCCTCACTTCTTACCTGCTGGCTACAAATTCTGGGGTTTTCTCTAGCCCCTGAGGATATCAGCCATAAGCTTAGGGGTTCCCAAGCCCCCACCCCCTCGACCTGCTGGCTTTCACTACTCCCTCAGGTTTGATAATTTATGAGAACAAATCACAGAACTCACGGAAACTGCTATACCTACAATTACAGCTTTATTATAAAAGACACAAAGCAGGATCAGCATAAAGAAGAGATGCACAGGGCAAAGTCTGGGAGAGTTCCCAACACTGAGCTTCTGTGTCCCAGAAAAAGGGATATGCCACTCTACCACGTGCATCGATGTTTTTCACCAACCAGGAAGCCTATGGAGCTTCAGTGTCCAGAGCTTTTACTGGGGGGGGGGTCTCATTAGGTAATACAAACTCTAGCCCCTCTCCCCTAAGGTTGGTCAATATCATGAAGTGATCACAAGGTGGGTTTCTGTGGCCATGTCATCACGAGGTGATCGTCATGAGTTAAGTCCTGCTGGCCTGGCTGCCAGCCCACCAATCCAGAGTCACCTCTCTGGCATAACCTGTCAGTTCTGGAGTCCTTACTGAGGACATTTAAATAATTAGGGAAATTCAAAGGTTTTATGGATTATGCCTCAGGAACCGAGGGCAAAGACCAAATTCTTTGAGTAAGGTTAAATTCTAACCCCAGAGTGGTCTTGCTTTGGAATTACTCTAGTTTACTTATCTTCCCCAAAATCTGTCTGTCAACCCAGGACTGGGCACAGTACGCTAGATGTGGTCCGACTATCAGAGTACACTGATCAATCATCTCATTCATACAACAAGTATTTACTAAGTGTCTACTACAAGCCAGGCACTATACCTCCTTTGAAGCTGCCAAAATACCACTTACCTGAGTGCTATGACACAATAGAGAACTGAAAGGACAGATGACTATCCTTAGCCAGTGATCCTTTTGAACCACTACAGATTATTTTGCCCAGTATACCTATCGAGGAAGCGCAGGTGCGGTGAGGGAAAGGTAAAGAGGCAATTAAACTATAGAAAGGATGTGAAGAAAACCCATTGCTGTGGAGTCAATTCCGAGTCATAGTGACCCTACAGGCAGAGGAGAACTGCCCCATAGGGTTTCCAAGGCTGTAATCTTTATGAAAGCAGACTGCCACATCTTTCTCCTGCAAAGCCACTGGTGGGTTCAAACCACTGACCTTTCAGTTAGCAGTCAAGTGCTTAACCACTGCGCCACCAGGGATCCTGTATAAAATCTACTCACTGTTAAATCCTGGACTTCCTTCTCCAGTTTAACAGCTTTTAGCCTTAAGGCTCGTTCGGCCAGAGATGGCCCAAGCTCATCAGGAGGGTCCTCAGAGCTGCAATCCTCACCAGTGGTCCTCTGCGTGGCAGTGCTGAAAGGATGCAGCCATCCCCTAAAGTATGGGGGGAAGGGAGGGTGTACAAAATGAGGAAATGCCATCATAATAACCCAAAGGCATTAAACCCAAGGTTTAGAGACCAGAAAGTTGCCCAGATTGAATCTCTAGGGAAAGAGCTTTCAATCTCTTTAACAGGTAATAACAATACAAACACTTATGAAATGCTTACCAAGTGTCAGACACTTTGTCGGGGTTTTACCTAATTATCTCTTTTCATCTCACAACACAAGATTGGTACTATTATCATTCCCATTTTATAGGTATGACAAATGAAGCTCAGAGAGTATAAATGACTTGCTCAAGATCATATATCTAGCAAACTACTAGCATCTTGCTGAACCAGGGAATAGAAACAGCCAGAAGAGGGTAAACAAAAGTCTGCAAAGAGGACACCAAATTCTAATACTCAGGATGGGAATTCAAAACATAAAGCCATACAGCTCTGGTTCAATCCTTCATTTTACAGATGGGGAAAATTAAGCCCAGAGAAGAGACGTTAGCAATCTGGAGTTAGGCCTAGAATCTGAAGCCTTCTTGAGGGCAAGCTGTAAGGCTGTATGGCTTTTAGGGAAGAAAATCTGTGCTGAGAAAGAGATCCTGAGTAAAATCAAGTAAAATCATATAAAATCAAGTCAATTACAAACTTATAAAACACATCTACTACATATTATGAACTGTAAACAGGTGAGTAATATAGATCTTTGTATTCAACTAGTTTGTAACTCGCTTCAGAACTGGAGTGTGGGTAAATTTTTATCAGAAGGAACCACCTTTCTTCTGGTCACTTCCCTTAATCACCAACAAACCACCAAAAATGTTTAAAAAAACAAACAAAAACCAACCCAGACAAACCCAGAAACCTTGAATCCAACTTCACACCCAGATGCTAGGTCAGAAGGTAAATTATCAAAGAGAAAAAGGTGACACATAGTTATACAAACTTCCTGCATTTTCCCTATGATTTAATTTACATTACCGAGGTCCCACCGTACCCTCCCCATCAGTCACTTCTATTCCCTGAGATTAATCAGCATCCTTTACTAGTAATTAAAAGCCTCGGTTCCAGGGCCCATGACTGATTTCCAGCCTAGGTCTCACCACTTCTTGAGTATTTGAGTTTGGAAAAGCTACTCACCTTTTCTAAACCTGTTTTCTCAATTATTAAATGGAGGATAATAAAAAGAACTACCTTAGTTCTGCCATTGGCGCGGTAAGCAACCAATAAAAGACAATGCTGCCGCTGCTGATGGTGATAAGGCAAGAACTGGAACTTAACCAACTCTCGAAGGCAGGTGGAAAGGCCCTTTGGAACGACCAAGTCCAACGCCCTCCTTTTACCGACACGTAAAACGATGCCGGATAATGAAAAAGGACTGGCCTAAGGTCACACAGGGGCGAAAGAACCAAAATTTAGCCGCAGACACCACAGATGGGGAGAAGGGTCAAGGAGAGAAGTACATCTCCAATTCAATCAATGCTCGGGGCTGAAAATATCTCCCACTTTCGAGGACATGTCCTCGGATCTCCTTGACTTCCAAGGCCTGGGAAGGAAGGAGAAGGAGGCGCGTCTGTGCGCCTCAGTTTCCCTCTCTGTAAAATGGGGCAGTGAGCGCCCGGTCGCAGGCGCCAAGAAGCTTGGAGAGTTCTCTCGCCTGCGCTGAAGTAACCCTCGCCCTCCATCTCACAACTGCCCTGCCAGCTTGTCAGTCCCGCACCGACCTCCCGTTCCCGACCCTCGCCTGCCTCGTTTACCTGCCGTAAGAAGCGGCACTCGAGGCCAGGAGGCGCTGCACCCACCGCGGGACCGCCCACAGGGACTGTGCGGCCATGTTTCCGACCTTGGCTTACAGAGGCAACGCAAGCGCACTAGCTACCAAACACGCTTCCCGGCAGCCTTCGCGGACGTTTCCTTCTTTGGGCGTCAGCACGGGAACGCTACGCTTCCGGTTTTCCTTGTGCTCTGCGTGGTTTCCTCTCCGTACTCGGAACAAAACACAACCCTTCCGGCTTCCCGATGTGCGGCGCGCCCGACGGAGCGTTATTTTAACAAAGTAGCCTCCGTGCTAGGCGCGCGATCTGCGACCAGCAAAGCTGATCACATGAGGGGCCCGCATGGAGCTTACATGAAGTTATAAACAATAAACAAATACAAAAGCGATATGAAATAAAAATATGACCTGTGTTTAAAGGCAAGGAGGATGGTGCTGTGAAAGCTTAGAATACAAATATGGACGAGTCTAGAGTTTTCCCAAAGGAAGTGATATTTGACCTGATAGATGAGGAATGAATACTAAGGAGGTAAGTGGTTCAGGCAGAGGAAAACAGTACCTGCAAAGGTCTAATGAAGAGAATATTGCGAATAAGGGACTGAAATATACAGGAAAGTGGGGAGACAATATGAGACGGGTGGTTAGGCAGGACTGGATAACGTTGTGGATTTAAAAATACTGCTGCCTGAAAACCCCCACCCCACCTCAGCATTTTTAAGTGTTTTTTTCTACAATGCCCTTATTTTCTGACTTACTGCGTTTTTAAATGATGTGTATTGTTGCGTTTCCTTTCACTAGAATGTAAGCTCCATTAGGGCAGAGATGTTTTTTTTTTGGTCTGTTAGTTCATTCTCTATGAACAGTTGCCTAATGTAGTAGGTGTTCAGAAATTTTTGATGAATGAACTTTAGTCTCATTCTAATTGCAGTGGGAATGTGACAAATCTTTACATGTTTTAGGTTCACCTTGGCTGTATAGAGGAGAAAAGAGGCAGAGAGACCAATAGCTGTTTCAATAGCCCAGGCAGGAGAGGGCTGTATTCTGTCCTGGGGTCGCCTAGAGAGACCTTTATAACCACCCTATCTAAAGTAGCTGTGTCCAGCACCCTTTTTATTTCCATCTTAGTATTTTGTTTCCTTTTTGTTCTCCCAATTAAGAGTGTGAACTTCATGAGGGGGTCTTTTTCACAGCGGTGATATTTTAGCATCTAGTACAGTAGGTGTTGTTCTTAGTGGCCATTGAGTTGGCACCCAACTCATGGCAACCCCATGGACAGTGGCTGCCGCATGGCTCCTTAGTCCAGCACCATCCTCATGACGCACATGATCGCTTATGGATCGGGCTGTTGTGATCCATAGGATTTCATAGGCTGATTTTCCAAGTAGATTGCCAAGCCTTTCGTCCTAACATAGTTAAGTAGTCAGTAAATATTTGTTGAATGAATTAACAAAGTTGGATGGTGTCCGTGGTGATGGGAAGAAGACAACGGGATTTTAGTGATTTAGGATGGAAAGCTTACAGGATGTGAAGACAGACTGGTAATTGGGATCCAGGGTGCTTGGAGTTGCAGGAATAGTTACTGAATAGACCTTTAGGTCAATTTTTTTTTTTTTTTAAATCAATGGGAAGTGCGCCCTCAGCATTTTGAATCTTCACCATAGCATGGCTTGCCTGTACCATAGTTATTGGTTCAGATCCTCTATCCTTATCTGTGATTTTCCTGAGGACAGAGCTGGAGTCTTTGGCATCTTTATATACCACCCACTGTTTCCTTTTGGCCTTATCAGGGGAGCCACATAATTTAGGGAGGGATTATGATCCCCTTTTACATATGAGAAAATTTGAGGCTTAGAGGGGATGGTGAACCTGCTCAAGGATCCAGTGACACTAGAATTCTCACAGTGCGAACACATGGCAGTGTTGGGAAGGATAGAGCTTCAAATCTACCTGAGACCCGGGAGCCTGTACTTTGAAAAACACAACCAAAAGAGGCATTTTAACAAGAAGAACTGGCATCCATACTTTAGCCATTTTGCTCGCATTTGTCTTAGCTGCCCAGGTTGCTTAGCAGCTGCTTAGCTTAGCACAGGTTGCGTGCCCTGGCTAGCAAAGTGCCTGATGCATGGTGAGTGCTCAGTACATGTGAATTATTTACTACCTAGGGTCCATCCTCTCAAAGAGTCTACAATCTGTTGATGGGAAAAGATACTTAACCCCAAAACAACTGCATGAAAAAGAATGTGATACACACCGAGGACATAGCTGGAGTGCTGGGTGCCATTCCAGGATCCGCATTTTAAAAAGGAACACTGACATTCCAGAGTATGTGAACTCCTTTTCCCTGAAGATATTCAGGTTGAATCTGGATAAAAACCTGTCAGTTATGGGTTGATTGCCTTTTAGTATTAGAGGCTGTAATTACCATTTAAAAATAATTTCTTCAGTAGGAAGAACACAGGCTTTTGAGTCAGACATTTCTTACCTAGCTAATTAGCTAACAGTAAGAGCCACTATTGACTGAGCATTGCCTATTTCTCAGACACTGTGCAAGAAGCTTCCCATGTATTATTTCACTGGGTGCCCCCAATAGTCTTAAGAGGAAAGTACAGTTGTAACCATGTTTTCACAGATAAGGCAAGCAACAATCAGAGAGACCAAGTGACTTTCACAAGGTCACCCAGCTGGTAAATGGCAGAGGCAGGGCTCAACCCAGCAGTCTGGATCCAGACTCATAACCTGTACGTCCTCTGCTCAGCCACTGATCAGCTGCGTGATTTTGGTCAGGTTATTTTTCCTGCTCTGGTCTCCAGCTACCTCATCACCAACACCACCACCACCACCACTTGTCTTCGAGTTAATTCCAGCTCATGGCGATCCCATGTGTGTCAGAGTAGAACTGTGCTCCACAGGGTTTTCAATGGCTGATTTTTTCAGAAGTAGATCACCAAGCCTTTCTTCTAAGGCACCTCTGGGTGGACTCGAATCTCCAACCTTTTGGTTAGCAGCCAAGCATGTTAACCGTTTGCACCACCCAGGGACTCCTGTAAAACTTTAGGTGGAGTAAAGTACGCAAAGCCTCTAGCAGAGTGTCCAGAGGTTATTCTGGGATTTCCCTTCTCTCCCCTTGAGCTAACCTCTGAACTCTTAAAGTTAAATGGTCTTATCTTTATTGGAGGAACATGTGTTAAAGACCTGTAAAGTGCATACAGTGTTGAGACAATATGAGTGGCACAGGAAGCAAGATTGTCCAGGACTTGAGGTCCTTGTTTCCCCATAAGAGTTATCAAGGGTTTATAAAGGGCTTAGCACCCATGTGGCAGAAATGAGCCACCACCCTCTTGGTTTCCTGATAATTTTACCTTATAGCAGTTGTGGAAGGGCAGGCTTGTGAGCCTCCAAGTGCAAGATGAGGAGGAGTGTCACATGGGTTTCTACCTATAGCCCCAGGACACTGAGTGTCATATAGAAATAGGTCAAAGGTCTTGACTGACAGCAGATGATCCCACCCTACAAAGCCTGCAATATCATGTGGACATTAGAAACCCAAGCTCTTGTCACTGAGTGTCAGTGCAAGCATAAAATATGTCAGCTGCTCAACCTCTTGTTGCCTGCTGGGAACTCAGATCTCTGATTTAAAATCACTCAAGTATGGAAGATTCCAGTAGCTGCACTCTGCTTAGCTCTAAAGCAGATGAGGAATGATTGAGAATTTGGATGTTCTCTTTAGCTTATGTTCATCGTTAAGCAGGCAGGGGTAATTCTGTTGATTTTTAAGCTCATTTGTCTTGCCCAGAGGTTGTCAGCAATGCCCAACATGAATCCACTTGGCAAAAGTGTGATTGTATGATCAAGTCCCATCTCTTTACACTGCACCACTAATGTTTCAGCACTGCCATCCTTTGCCTTAGGACTGGAAATGGGATGCTGAGAATAGGTGGAATGGCTTACTCACATGTGCTTTCATTTCTTCTTCAGAAGGGAAGGCAAAGACATCTAACAAAACCTTTACAACTGTGCAGAATTTTGTCTCCCCCAACTCCATTTTCCACCCTCTGTAGTCATAAGGATGTCCTCCATTTCCCTCTTCTCCTCTTCTTCTTCCCTCCCCGTATCCCCTAAAATCATGCAGACAATAAAGGCTAGTCTTTTGGTTGCCCAAGAAAGTAGGGAGCTACTTCCAGTCTTTCCCTGGTTTATCCTTGTAAAAAAGCTTTTCTGCCTTAGATGGACAAGCTGATAACTCCTTTGGGATAAAATCTTCATCCTCTTTCTAGGTCTTCTTCATTTCCCATTCCTGAAGTACAGAAAGACAAGAGAGATCAGTGTTGCTGAATATTCTAGTGTGACTTATAGGATAAAAACATTTTCACTGTACCTAATCATATAAAGATCTTCACCGGCCAGGTTAGAGATCCTTGGGTCCTAGTCTCCCTCTCTTGCTTTCTGTGGCCTTGGGTAAGTTACTTCTCCAGTTTGGGCCTCATCTCTAAGGGGGTTTAGAGACCACAAAGTTTGTCTCTCTCAGACAAGGAAACTGAGGCCCAGGAACTGAGGGGAGTGGGGACTGCACCTGACTCCATTTCTATTCCACAGGACCTTGGGGGTGGAGGAGGCAGACGATGGCAAAGAAGCCACAGCAGTTGGGTAAGAAAGGGTGTGGGCAGGCAGCCCACAGGGCTCCATTCCTTCTCCCGGGGCTGCCAAGGAGTTTGAGAGGGATTCTGAAGTTGTGCCCACAGTAAATGGCTTTTTACTCATAAACAATGCATGAAGTTGCCAGCCAGCCCTGGAGTTGACGGTGTGAACAGGGTAGACCATGATGGTTGGGAAATTCTTGGTGGGAGGATCCTCCACTCCTCAACTTGCTCCTTTCCCAGTCTTCTCCATCTAAACTGCAACTGCTCGGGGCAATGACTGAGAAGTCATCCTTGATTCCTTTCTTTTCCTCATCCTCCACGTCTTCATCAGCAAACCCTTTGGCTCTACCTCCAAAACCAGCCACTTTGCATCATTTCCACTAAACCCTGTTCATTGCTCATCTGGATTATTACAGTAGTCTTCTAACTAATCTTTGTCATTCTCTCATCCATTCTCAACACAGTAGCCAGAACTATCCTTTAAAAATATAATCTATATCCAACAACTCTTTCCTTAAAACTTTCCAGTGGCTTTCTATTATGTTAGAACAAAATCTAAAGTTCCTCCAATGGCCTACTAGGTTTTAGATCAAGGATTGCCAAACTATGACCTGCGTGCCAAGTCTGGCCCACTGCCTGTTCTTGTATAACCCATCAGCTAAGAATAGTTATTACATTTTTAAATGTTTGGAAAAAAATCAAAAGAAGAGTATTTCATGCCATGTGAAAATTATATGAAATTCAAGTGTCAGTGTCCAGAAATAAAGTTTTATTGGGACACAGCCTTGCTCATCATTCGTTTATGTATTGTCTATGGTTGCTTCCACACCACATGGCAGAGTTGAGTGGTTGCAACAGAGATCATATAGTCCACAAAGGCTAAAATATTTTCTGCCTGGCCCTTTAGAGAAAAAGTTTGCTGGCGCCTGGTCTAGATGATCTGGACCCTAGCTGATTATTTCTCTGATCTCATCTCCTAACACTCACCCTTTGCTCCCTCCACTGGAATCACTTGGATCTTCTTGATGTTTCCTTGGACATGTCAAGCTTTGTTTCCTCAAGGACTTGGCACTTGCTCTTCTGTCTGGACCATCCTTCCCTCAGACACCCACATGGTTCACTCTCTCACGTTCCATTTAGGTCTCTGCTTATATGTCACTTCCTCAGAAAGGTCTTTCCTGTCACTGTGATTAAAACAGCCACCCCACCCCCCACATCACCTTTCTCCTCTTACCTTGCTTTATTTTCCTTCAAAGGTACTTATTACTACCTGATATTCCATCCTATATTTATGTGTTTATTTACAGTCTTGGCTTCCCAACTAGAATATAAGCTATATTCTAGGGGAGGGATTTTGTTTTGTTCCTTGCTGTGTAACCAGAACCTAGAACAAGACTTGACACACAATAAGTACTCAATAAATATTTGTTGCACGACTGACTAACTGAAGAAAAGAATGAAGACTCTTCCTTCTCTGGCTCTGAAAGTCAACAATTCCAACCCGATGACTAAGCTCTAGCCTAAATAGAGAGCCCTGAATTTTAAAAGTCAGGGCTGGTGTGATCCTAGACAAACTGGCAAGTGTTCCCCAAGCAATGTTGACATGAAGGTCATAAATGGCTGTCCTTTAAGCATATTCTGATATGCAATTTCAGGTTATGAAATGATCAGGCCCTGCCTAGCTCTTCACCCTCAACTCATTCTCCTCTCCCTCTCCCTCACTCTGCTCTAGCCACTCTGGGCTTGGTTCTGCCCATCAGACACTCTCGAGAGCCTTTGCACTTGCTGTCTCCTCTTCCTGGAATGCTTTTGCCTCATATCTTCTCATGGCTGGTCCTTCTCCCTGTTTGGGTCTCTGCTCAGAGAAGTCTCCCCCGACCACTTTATCTATTGCTCCAACGCCACCCCTAGTTACTCTTTCTTGTTATATTTTCTTTGTAGCGTGTATCCCTTTCTGAAATAATCTTTCTACATCAATTGGGCACTTATGTACTATCTGTCTCCCTTTGCTAGGTTGGAAACTCCTTGAGAACTGGAACCTTGTGTATCTTATTCACTGCTCTATCCTACCCATTGAACTTCAGTCTCCTCATCTGTGAAATGGGGCTAATAATGTCTGCTTTGCCCAGCTATTGCAAAGATTAAATGAAAAAGTACATGAAAGTGTTTAGCAAAGTGCCAGAATTTAGCAGGTGCTCAATATATTTCTCGAATGAATACATTTGGAATTTTCCACAATTTCAAACATGACATTTCCCTTTTATTTTAAATAAAGGTTAATTTTATGTTTTCTCTTAAAAAAGACATTATTCCTTGAAAACTCATCAGTCTCTACATTTCTTAGCCTGGAGTTCAGGTCCTTCTATATCAACCTATCTTTCCAGTCTCATCTCCTACCAATTTTTCAGATATTCTGTACTGGTCTCAGTATCAACTTCAGCAAAGGATGGATTATTGAGCATTCCTGATGTGTCAGACATTTGTTTCTCAGGTTCATACCCCCTTATCTTCAATTCTATAATCGAAAAAGCTCTGAAACCAAAAGTTTTCTCAAATATTTTGGAATAAACTTATTTGGTGGCAAAACCTGATCTGAACTGATGTGAGGCTGTTTATAAGATTTATTTATTCCACGTGGTGTGAATAGTCATGTCTTGCTGTAAAAATGTTAACGTGTTTGTTATAGTGTGCCATCTGAGAACTTGTTGGCGTGTGTCATCATATTTAGTATCGTACCATATTACCTTTCTAAAATTTAAAAAGTTCTGAAACATCACTGGACTGTGGACAAGTTTCATAGAAGGAGCCCTGGAACTAGACTTGGAAGAGGTGGGTTTGCATCCCAGCTCTCTCAAGGATGCCCTGTATAACCTTGGGCAGGTCCTTCACCCCCTAGGCTTCAGTTTCCTCACCTATGAAATGCGGACTTTCTTGTCTTAAAACGCATTACAAGCTAAGAAACCTGCTAACTGAGCTTGTTAGAACTACGTGTTAAAAAAAAGAGTAAAAAGGTTTTGAATGAGGTCTCAGAGTATTCCCCTCTGAGCAAAGTTCATGAGTTTTACTGCATGGATGTTCCAGCAATTCTCTGCCTTTCTCAATAGCTACATTTTTGTTCCTTGGTGAGTTTCCATATACAAGAGGCTTCTAAATCTGAATTTTGATCAGCTGAGCTGATGCTGTACCTTGGCTTTCTGCAGCACCCTTCCTTGGTTGGAGGTTACAATGGATGGGCTCCTCTTCCTCAGCTCAGAAACACAGTTGACAGGAAGAGGTTGCTCTGGAGCGTTGTCCTGGGGTTTATTTGCAACTTCCTGTTGATGGCAAGAAATAGTTACATAGGTGAGGTCTATCACTAGCTACCTACACCCAATCTGCCCTCAAAAGAATGAAAAGCCCCATTGCTGTTGAGTCTCTTCTGACTCATAGCAGCCCTAGAGGACGGAGTAGAACTGCCCTATGGGGTTTTCAAGGAGTGATGGTAGATTTGAACTGCCGACGTTTTGGTTAGCAGCCAAGTTCTTAACCTCTCCACCACCAGGTCTCCAAAAGAATGAGAGCACTTTAAAATAGAAAGCACTACACAAACATGCCAGCATCAAGCAGGGTGAGGGGAGGAAGATAAGTGAGAGCCTTGGAATAAAGATAATGGCGACTAACAACACTTAACCCTCACTATGCACGAGGCATTGCACTGATTAGCTCATTTAAGCTTTCCAACAAATCTATGAAGTAGGTACTATTATTAGTCATTCTACTTTACAGATGAAGAAACCAGAGCTTGGAGAGATCAAGTCATTTGTTCCACACCACATCATAGGTGGGAAGGTCAGAATTCAAACCCCACAACCCTCTCTGTTACCCTCTGGGCTGTATTACCATTTTCTACGCTGCTTTAATCTCTTAAATTTCCCTCAATTGCTCAGGACCTTACTGAATATAGTTCCTTAAGTGTGACATCTTAAGACTGTAGGACATTTAGAGAAGACTCCTCTTTAGCACCAAAGGGAGTCAAAAAGATCAAACGTGGAGAGAAAAGTGCTTTGGAATGGGAATGTCGGCACATGCCGGTGGGAGAGAACTGAGCTGGGGTGCGTGAACCTGGTTCTAGTTCCTCTATCAACCCTCTGTGACCCTGGAAGTTGTTTTGCCCCTGGCCCTCATGTTCCTCATCTGTAAAATGAGGTAGGAAACTTCCCATGGAAAGTGTATTGGGTTGAATAGTGTCCCCCCAAAATTCATGCCCTCCCAGAACCTCAGAATGTGACCTTACTTGGAAAAAGGTCTTTGCAGATGTAATAAGGAGCCCTGGTGGCGCAGTGGTTAAGCACTTGGATGCCAACCAAAAGGTCGATGGTTCTAATCCACTAGCCACTCCGTGGGAGAAAGATGTGGCTGTCTGCTTCCATAAAGATTACAGCTTTGGAAACCCTGTGGGGCAACTCTACCCTGTCCTGTAGGGTTGCAATGGAATCTGTGGCAATGGGTATGTATGTATGCAGATGTAATCAGTTAAGGATCTTGAGATGAGATCATCCAGGATTTAGGGTGAGCCTTAAATTCAATAGCTGGTATCCTTCTAAAAAGAGGAAAAGACACAGAGAGACACACAGAGAGGCCATGTGAAGATGGATGTAGGCAGAGATTGGAGTTATGCTGCCCTAAGCCAAGGAACTCCTCGGGCCACCAGGAGCTCGAATAGGCAAGGAAGGATTCTTCCCTAGTGCCTTCAGGGGTGTGTGGCTCTGCCGACACCTTGAGTTCTCATCTCCAGACCTGTGGGACAATAAATTTCTGTTGTCTTAAGCCACCCAGTTTGTGGCAATTTGTTATGGTAGCACTAGGAAACTAACATAGGGAGGAAATGTAGGAGCGGAAGAAACAGAGCCAGCTTCAGAGTCACCGGGTGTGGTCTGACCTGGCACGGTGACCTTCAAGAATAATAACACAGCTCCCAATGGCACTTGATACTTATTGGACAAGTTATTTTACTTCTTTGAGTCTCAATTTCCTTGTCTGAAAGCAAGGATGTTGGATTTATTTACTCAACAAATGCTTACTACACTCCTACTATTTTTCAGACTCTGTAAAGGACTAGGGATATAATGGTAAACAAAACAGACACAGTCTATTTCTTAACAAAAATACAATCTAGCTGGGAAGACAGACATTAGCCAAGTAAGGACACAAATACATATATATTGACAGATTATGATTAAGTGCTATAAGGAAGAATACCAGATGGGACCTTTGGTAATTTTACCAGTGGTTTTCAACAGAGGGACATCCCCTTGGGACCATCTGGTAATGTCTGGTGATAATTTTGGTTGTCAACAATTTGGGGGGAGGTTTGCTACTGGCATCTAGTGGGCAGAGGCCAGGGATGCTACTAACCATTCTACAATGCACATGACCCATTGCCGTCGAGTTGATTCTGACTCATAGTGACCCTACAGGACAGAGTAGAACTGCCCCATAGGGTTTCCAAAGCTGTAATCTTTTCCAAGGCATGCTACCACATCTTTCTCCTCCGGAGTGGCTGGTGGGTTTGAACCACCAACTATTCAGTTAGCAGCCAAGTGCTTAACCACTGCACCACCAGGGCTCCTTAATGCACACGACAGCCCCCTACAACAAAGAATTATCTGTTCCACAGACTTACTAGACCAGTAGAGACTGGATGAACCCACGACACTACTGCCCTGAGATACTCCTTAAACTTGGAACTCAAACCACTCCCAGAGGTCACCTTTCAGGGAAATGACAGATTGGCCCATAAAGTAAATAATATCACCCAGGAGTACTGCTCTCCTCAAAAGCATCGTCTAGACGAAACCAAATGGTAAACGTTTACACAAGACTAAAGTTGAGAAAGCTAGGGGAGACAGGGAAGCTAGATTAGTAGAAACAGAACAACCAAAATGGAAATAATGAGAATGCTGATACACTGTGAAGAATGTAACCAATGTCACTGAACAATAAGTACAGAAATTGTTAAATGAGAATCTAATTTCCTGTGTGAACTTTCACCAACCCCCCCCCCCACCACACACACACACACACATACATGGAATTATCTGGCCCAAAATGTCAGTAGTGCTGCGGTCAGGAAGTCCTTTCTGAGGAATCTCATTCAAGCTGAGAGTATCTGCCTTGCAGGGTTGCTGGGAGGCTTAGAGGTAATGGATGCAAAGCCATGAGAATAGAGCCTGGGACCCTGGAGATCCCAGGAGAGAGCATGTTCCACAGTGGCTAAAAGCAGGGTTCTGGAGTCAGACTGTCTGCGTTTGGAACCCTGTCTCCCACTTAGCAAGTCACTCAACAGCAAGCTGAACCTCAGTTTACTCATCTGTCAGATGGGTTTGATATACATAGTGAACTACCTCAAAAGATTGCTGTGAACATTGTGTGAGATAATACAGGTTAAAATGCTGTACTGGCAAATAGTAATCGATCAATACAAGTTTGTTATTTGACATATGGTAGCTATTACTATCATCAGTAACTTTAAGGCCACTTCTAAGATCACCTTCAAGTTGAAAAGTCAACAGTGGTGCTGTCGTGGAGAGAACACAGGCCAGAGAATCAAGAGAACTCGCTGCAAGGGTCCACTTCCTAGCCATGCCACCTGTGGCATGTCCCCTGCACCTACTTGGGTCTCAGTCTTCTCATTTGTAAATGAGCATAACTCCTCCCCACAAAGAATGATCACGATGGAGAGCTGCTGCCTAAGAAGGGATTAAGGAGCAGCTGCTGCATGTGTAGAAGAGAGTGTACGCACCCCACTCTTGTTCTTGCTGGTCACGGAGAGCCCCAGGGCTGGGCCCCCAGCCAGGGACTGCTGTAAGCGCTCTTTCACTGCCACGAGCCGCAGCTCCAGGTCGATCCGGCGCTCCTCCTTCGCCCGGCACTGAGCTTCCAGGGTGGCCACAGCCTCCTCCAGAACCTTTAACTTTGCTCCTGTTTACAAAGACACTGATGAGAAGCAGCTGAAGTAGGCCTGAAGCGTCAGGGAGCCTGGCAGCACTTCCGGTTCTTGTCTGTCCCTCCTGGAGAGCCTTTCCAGCCCCTCAGACCCGGTTAAGAAATGGACTTTGGGCATGGGCTTCCAGCTCCATTCTGGGTGGTATGGCTTTTACCTGCCCAGTACCCATTTCCCCATCTTCAGGAAATAGCACCTTGATTTTCCATTGTTAAACCATCTTTCCCCTCTCATTCTCTCTAGTTTGGGTGGGGCTGACCCAACGCCTAGTCCAAGGGTTGGTGCATAACTTAGCCCTGGCCAATAAATCGTATTTCACCTCTGGTCACAGTGATTGGTTTAGGGATGAAAGTTGGCCCAATCAGAGTGAATCCTGAGGATTTTGTGAGGGCCACAGGGATGTGAAGTTCTCTCTGCTGGGATAGCTGAGAAGGCTGAGAAAGGAAGGGCTACATCTGTGTAGCCATTGTGCCACCAAGAGAAGAGAGAATGAAACCAACACAGAGGAAAAGTAGAAACAAGAATCTGAGAAATAAACTTCTTGGTGGCATCATTCAAGTCCCTGGATCTCATGCTACCTCACCTCTTTCAGTTACACTTTTCTTCTTTTCTTTTCTAAGCCAGTTTGACTTTGGTTTCTGTTACTTATAATCAAGAGTCATAACACAGGGCTCTTCCTAGACCAGGGGTTCCTACTAGGACTTCTGCTGCTTATTCAGTTTAATCCAAGAAACCTGTATTAGCACTTGTGCCAAGTGCTACGTTGGGTTTTGCCAGGTTTAGAAAATGAGTAAGTTCCATTCTTTTCTGAGGGAGGCTGTACTAGGTGTTGTAGTGATGGTGGATTCTTTACCTTCATGCATTCATTCATACATTTAATCAATAAATATTTACTGAGTATTTACTATGTGCCAGGCACTCTTCTAGGCCCTTGGTGATACATCAGTGAACAAAACAGATGAAGATTCTGCTATTATAGAGCTTATATTCTAGTGTGTGTATGGAAGAGACAAACAATAAGTAAAAATAGTAAATATAATAGGTAATGTAATATGTTTCAAAGTGATAAGTGCTGTAGAAAAAAGAAAAAGTTGAGCAGAGTAAGGGGGGTAGTCAGCCTGCTCCATATCCTGGTTATTCTTTATATTGAAACCAAACTGCTTTCCTGTGTCCCATCCCCATTAATTCTGTTTCTGGACCACACAGAACAAGTTTTATCCTTTAAACCGAAAGTTCTCAATCTGAGGCTCGTGGATTCTTGGGCAGTCCATGGATGGGTCCCAGGGGGCACAAGAACTCTTGAAATTGTTTGCAACACTGTGAATTGTGTTTTTTTTCCCTAGGAAAGGGTCCACAGGTTCCATCATATTCTCATAGGGCTATGTGATCTTGGACACATTCCATAAGGACAGCACTTCTGTTCCCTCCTGCATGTGGAGAAACCTCAGGCCGAAAGTGTGCCGAACTGTGGTTATAGAGAGAGCTCAAAGGAAACAAGCAGGAAATGAAGTGAAGGACCCCAGAGCAGGCAGGGCCTGCTGTATTCTCTCTTCTTATGGCGGCACAATGGCTGCACAGCTCTACCTTCCTTACTCAATCTTCTCAGCCAGCATGGCCCTGGATTTCAGAAGAGGATCATGAGAAAGTGTGGAATTCAAGAGGGGCAGCAGTCACCATCCATCACTCCCCAGCACCTGAGCCAGTGTTTTACACACAGTCAAGTGTTCAGTAAATATCTGTGAACGAATGAGTGTGAGGTTCAACACGGTATCTTTTATTTCCTTGATTCTAAGACACCCTTCTGTTTTTCGCATTTTAACATTTCTAAAATCAGGTTGTGTATTACTGCATTAAATGGGCACATTCTTGTCATGCCTTTTTTATCCTCTTGCCCAAAAGCAGTTATTAAATTGATAGCACTTCCTTTAATTGGAGGAATGATGATGATGATGCTGAAGAGGAGGAGGAGGAGGAGGGGAAGGAGGAGAAGACAAGTTCTCCTGGCTAAGAAACTGAGTGACTTATGCAAGAGACTTCTTATTGTGCCAGGGGAGGTGCCAAGGCTGAGCCACCCACCGGCGCTCAGAACCACACCCACATAAGTACCTGGGTTGCTCCGAATGGCCTCCTTCAGCTCTCTCTTCTCCTGCCGAAGTGCCATCAGCTCTGTCCGGATTGTCTCTTTCTCTTTCTCTAGCTTCTCTTTTTCTACCAGGTACCTCCGAGCATCCTCCTCAGCTCGGTTCTTGCCGTACTTGTATTGATTGGCACCTGTAGAGATGTAGGGAAGAAAAGGGCCTTCAGTTCTGACCTCTAGTATGGGTACTTGGGTGTCTTAGCTTTTTTCTCAGCCTCAACTTCTTCATCCATAAAATGGGAATGTCTGGATCTATACCAGTGCGAATACTCTACAGAAATAAGACACAAAAGGGGAGGTGCAGTACAACTCAAGGAGCAAGGGCTTTGGAACCTGACACACCAAGGTTTGCATTCTCTTTTGCCCTTTACTGGTTTTGTGACATGAGGCAAAGGTGAATGGTGGTGTTTTTGTGTCTTTTCTTCTAGGTTTTAGTTTCCTCATTTGTAAATGTGAATATTGATACAATTTAGGGTTGTGTTTAAAATGTTTAAACAAGATAATTCATGAAAAATGCTTAGTATAGGTCTGGGCTAATAGTAAGTGCTTAGTAAATGTTAGATAATAATAATGTAATAGAACAAATTTTGTGCTGTATAACACATCATGGCTTTAAAAAGGCATGTTGTATAGTCAACTCTCAGTTATACATGAGGCAGGAGACAGTTATGTATAATTCAGATTCATAGAGAATCCAGCCCTCTGGGCTAAAGTCAGGCATCACCCATTTTATTTCTGAGAAAAGGGTGTGGGAGGGAGAAGCCCAGCAGCCTACTGTAGGTTCTACGTTATGGAAGACAGTAACAACAAATACTTATGACGAACATTTATTGAGCATTTCCTATATGCCAGGCACTACATGCTAAGCCATTTACATGCATTCTCATTTAACGTTCACAACAACTTACTATCATTAGTTCTATTTCATTGTTGAGGAAACCAAGCCTCAGACAGGTCAGAGTCAGGACTTTACATAAGGTCCCACTATTAATGGTGGGAAAGCTGATGCTGGAACCCATGTCTGTCTGACTCCAGGGTTCACGCAATGCAATACTGCTCTAGCTGGGCCAAGACCATAGTCCAATCCCGCAAGGAAAAGCGTCTGCTATAGACAGCCACACATCTTGGTGGGTTGTGGGGTGAATTCCAAGGTCCACTGATAACTGGGAATTTATCAACCTCAGGATCAGGGGCTTCTTGTCTCTCTAGTTCTTGCATGAGTCCATGGAGAACTTGGTTCCTGCCACAACTAACCTGCATTGCAAGCCTGATCATAAATACAGCATGGGGAGTGTCTTAGATTCTTTGTGCTGCTGTAACAGGAGTACCACAAGTGGGTGGCTTTAATGAACAGAAATTCATTTTCTCACAGTTGGGAGGCTAGAAGTCCAAATTCAGAGCGCTAGCTTTAGGGGAAGTCTTTTGCTGTCTGCTCTGGGGGAATTTGTCTCAGCTTCCCCAGCCCAGGCATTCCTCAGTTCCTTGGTGATCTCCACGTGGCATTATCTTTTCTCAGTTTGTGCTTGCTCGCTTCTGTGCCTAATCTGCTCTTTTTATATCTAAAGTGGTTAGGTTTAAGACACACTGTACACTGACATGGAGACCCTGGTGGCGCAGTGGTTAAGAGTTCGGCTGCTAACGAAAAGGTCAGCAGTTCAAATCCACCAGGTGCTCCTTGGAAACCCTATGGGACAGTTCTACTCTGTCCTATAGGGCCGCTATGAATTGGAATCAACTCGATGGCAGCGGGTTGGGTTTGGTTTGGGGTATACACTGATATGGCCTAATTAACAAAACAAAGAAAATCTTATTCACAAATGAGATTATATCCTCAGGTATAGGAGTTAGGATTCCAGCAAATATTTTTCAGGGGACACAATACAATCCATAACAGGGGGCAAGAGAGGAGGACCCATATTTTCCCCAACTTCCCAATACACAATGGCATCCCAGGGGAATTGGCTCCCGTACTTCTGGATCTTTTAGACTAGTTAAAAAAAAAAAAAAAAAAAAAGACAGACAAATAAATGGTCTTCAATATTTATTGTATCAAATGAGGGCCTTAAAACCCTCCACCTTCCATCTATTCCCATTATTTTATAAAATCAATGCTATTTTAATATCCCAGGGTAGGAAGGGCATAAACACAAAATATAGCATTTACGTTTAATAGATGTAACTTTACGGAAAAACTCAGTGGCTATCCTTATTTTTCTTATTTCACTGCAGATGAGTGGAAATTTCCTTAGTGACCAGACTAGCAAGTGGAGTCACCTTTGGGAACCAGTAGGGAGCCCTGGGAGCACAATAGTCAAGTGCTGGGCTGCTAACTAAAAGGTCGGTGGTTCAAGCCCACCCAGGTTCTCCGGAGGAGAAAAGACCTGGCGATCTGCTCCAGTAAAGATTATAGCCTTGGAAACTGAATGGGGCAGTTTTACTCTGTTCTATAGAGTTGCTATGAGTCAAAATCGACTTGATGGCACACAACAACAACCCCGCTTGCTTCAGTGTGTCAGCACCACGGATAGCAGCTTATCTCACACCCTACTGTGCAATACTTGTCACTCAAATGGTGAAGAAGAAACAAACATGATGGTCTGTAATGGGTAAGCTGAAAGGAGCTATAATTCTGTGGATCTCATAGTATTAGTGATAAAATATTTGCTTCAAACCTTCTCAAGGACCTTTCAGAAAATCAGGGTTTCCATGAGACATACAGAAACATTTAGTGTCCAAGTTACTAATCTATTGGGGAAGCCTTAGAGAAGAAGACATTGGAAAGAAGGCAATGCCTTAAACCTAGGTATGGATCAACTTTCCTAAGGTGAGGGGACTAGAGAAAGACTGCTGGGTGCAGTGATGTTAAGACTCCAGGACTAGGAGACAGGAAACTTGGCTTCTCACCACAGAACTGTCACTGACTCTCTGTGGCTGTGAAAGTGTTATGGATTGAATGGTGCTCCCCAAAATATGTGTTGTAAATCCTAACCTCTATGCCCGTGGTGTTAATGAGACAGGATTACTGTAGGGTTTATCTTGAGCCAATCTCTTTTGAGATATAAGAGAGATTAAACAAGCAAGCGGAGCAGAGATGGCGGGAGGAGAGATGCCAAGCCACATGGAGATCATCCAGGAGCGGAAGCTCAGAAGAGACAAGGACCTTCCTCCAGAGCGACAGAGAGAGAAAGCCTTCCCCTAGAGCTGACACCCTGAATTTGGACTTCTAGCCTCCTAACTGTGAGAAAATAAATTTGTTTGTTAAAGCCATCCACTTGTGGTATTTCTGTTACAGCAGCACTAGATAATTAAGACAGATAGCCAGCCTCCAGTATGGCCAATGATTCTTTTTTTTTTTTTTTATATATAGTGCTTTAATTGAAATATAATTCACCTACCATACAATGTACCCATTAAAGTATACAATTCAACGGTTTTTAGTATATTCACAGAGTTGTGCAACCATCCCCACAATACATTTTAGAACGTTTTAATTATCTCAGAAAGAAACTCCATACCCATTAGCAGTCACTCACAATTTCCCCTCTACTCTCCCCAGTCCTATGTAATCACTAATGCACTGTCTATTTCTATATATTTGCCTATTCTGGATGTTTATATAAATGGAATTGTAAAATATGTGATCTTTTGTGACTGGTTTCTTTTGCTTAGCATAATGTTTCAAGGTTCATCTATGTTGTAGCAAATATAAGTACTTCATTCCTGAATAATATTCCATTGTACGGATATACCACATTTTCTTTATCCTTTCATCATTTGATGAACATTTGGATTGTTTCCACTTTTGAGCTAATATGAAGACTCTTGGTATGAACATTTGTGTACAAGTTTTTGTGTAGACATATGTTTTCATTTCTCTTGGGTATAGAGTAGGACTGCTGGGTCATATGGTAACTCTATGTTTAATATTTTGAGGAATGGCTCACTGCCAGAGTGTTTTCTAAAGTGGCTGCACCATTTAACAGTTCCCAAAACTGTACTAGGATTCCAATTTCTCTACATTCTTGCCAACACTTGTTATTGTCTTTTTGATTACAGCCATCCTAGTGAATGTGAAGTAGTATCTCATTGTGGTTTTAATTTGCATTTCCCTGATGGCTACTGATATTGAGCATTTTCTTATGCACTTATTGGCCATCAGTATATCTTCTTTGGAGAAATGTCTATTGCTATCCTTTGCTCATTTTTAAATTGAGTTACTTGTCTTTTTATTACTGAGTTGTAAGAGTTCTTACTTAGTCTAGATACAAGTTCCTTACTGTATGTACAATTTTCAAATATTTTCTCCCATTCTGTGGGTTATTTTTTCATTTTCTTCATGGTTACCTTTGAAGCACAAAAGCTTTAAATTTTGACGAAGTCCCATTTATCTTTTTTGTTGCTTGTGCTTTTGGTGTCACAGCTAAGAAGGCTTTGCCTAACCCAAAGTCATGAGTATATACTTCTATACTTTCTTCAAGAGTTTAGGTCTTTGATCCATTTTGAGTTAGTTTTTGTATATGGAAGGAGCTGTGGTGGCACAATAGTCAAAGTGCTCGGCTGCTAACCAAAGGGCTGGTGGTCGAACCCACGAGCTGCTCCGTGGGAGAAAGATGTGGCACTGTGCCTCCATAAAGATTACAGCTTTGGAAACCCTATGGGGGCAGTTCTACTCTGACCTATAGGGTCGCTATGAGTTGGAATTGACTCAATAGCAATGGGTTTGGTTTGGTTTGGGTTTGTATATGGTATGTGGAAGGGGTCCAACTTCATTCTTTTGCATGTGGCTATCCAGTTGTCCCAGCACCATTTGTTGAAAAGATGATTCTTTCCCCACTGAATTGTCTTGACACACTTGTCAAAAATCAATTGACTACTTTCAGCCAAACAATAGATTAGCTTATAAAATAAACAATATCACCTGTGAGTAATGTGCTCCCTTGAACAACCAGCTATATGAGACCAAATGGTCAACATTTACCCAAAAGCAAAGATGAGAAGTCAAGGAGGGACAGGGAAGCTAGATCAATGGAAACAAATCGAATGTAAATAATGAGAATGCTGACACATCATGAAAATTGTAACCAATGTTATGGAATAATTTGTATAAAAACTGTTAAACAGGAACCTAATTTGC